AGAGACCGAGTGAGTATGAAAGAAAGGGCAATATGGATGGAAAGTGGTGGATTTGCTGGCAGCAGTCTCTTACTCAGCAGCAGAGCCACAAAACATGATGAAAAATGCTGCTGTGATAGTGTGTGTGTGTGTGTGTGTGTGTGAGAGGGAGAAAGTGTGTGTGTACATCAACAAAGTGCCATGTACTGAAAGGTTCACACAGAGAGAGACAAGTCTGACACCTACAGGTTGGTCCGATGAATCATCTACCCGACAACACCTGTTTTACTCGGCGACATGTATGTTTTTGATGCAGTGCCATTACTTGGATACAATCCAATAGGGTATTTGTCACTAATTTCACAACTTAGCATCTCTTCTTGGGGCGTGGCAGACAGAACTGAGATCGGAACCTGAATGTCACATCCACCGCTGTGTCATACATCATGGGGGCAGCAGGTGTGGACAGCCTCTAGTTCATCTTTTTGGAGGAGCTGCTTGAAAAAACCTTCCACAGTGTTTGTCATCATGGCAGGAATCCTTTAATCGGGTTCATATGTGAAGATTCTAGATCAGTTCTCTGAAATGCACATTTGTTTGGCAGCTTTACTCCTGTTCCTAGATTTCAGATAGGGCTCAGAGGTGTCTTTCCTTCACTGGTTGGCTGGTAGCACAGTTCTGTCAGCTACAGAAATGGTTTCAATCCTGTCAAGTCTGTCTAGACCATGATCGCTAGTTTTGGAGGCGTGTGAGAAACCCTTGCTCGGTATGTATATGTTGAAATGCAACATGGAAATCCTCCATTGTGCAGGAAGACACCTTATTCAGTATCCCAGCAGTGATACATTTAAACAGAACACCTCTATCCTTCCTATGTCAGACGGTGTTACATCCACCGGCGTGTCCGTACCTGCAGCTCTGATTGTTTGTTCCAGAAAGTCCAACCAACTGCAATCAGTGCATCCTGACAAGTCTTCAAAATGCCCATCATACAACTCCCTCCCTCTCCTAGGCTGCAGGAGCAGAATCTTTGCACACTGCAGTATTTATAATATTTATTTATAATTAATAATATATTTTTAATTCATCGTCAGTGTCAGAACTTGGTTTATCCCATTTTGTTTCTCCCTTCATGTTGCTGCTCCCTGAGCCACGGTTATAACACTGCATCCTTCAAAGGGTCCCAACAACTGAGGAGCTTAAAGGGATTCTAAAAAGCAAAAAGTGTGTGATACACATATTTTCTAACTTTTTCTGGCTGTTTTCTTACAGAACATTAAATATTTTAACCTTTTCAGGCTTGCAAATACCTTCAAATTCATGGCTCATGAGCTTACAAAGTCAAAAACTAACTGATGTAAAAGGATCCAAGGCTACATACATATCAATCTGTATCCAGTCAGGATGGTTTTGATCCTTTGCATTTGGTTTAACTGTTATTAGCTTTGGAGACATCCAAGGTACAGTTAACTGCTCTTTTAATCTTTCAGTGACAATTTTTTGAATGTCTAGTTCATGCTTAGTTCATAGACGACGCTACTCTGATTAGTAATCTTATTTGGTGCCTTCAGCATTTTCTGCTCAGTTTTCTGCTCTCGACACAGTTTTACTCACTGCAGGCTCATTTTTCCTGCACATTACTGAAACATCACAACATGACTAGAAGTAGAAAGAAATGTACTTTGTGCGGTACAGAAAAGCTATGATGCTTTAAATCATTAGAAAAATGAAAAGAGAAAAAAAGCGTTTTATGTTTTACTCTTGCTTTTCCTTATAGTGTTCTTGAAGTATGCTGCATTTAATTAATTGATCAAGTGTATTTTGTTTTGCTCTCAATCTCTCTAATTTCCTTCCATATTTTTTGATTTTTTCAAGTGCTAATGGTTTGTGTACCTCTAAGTATTTATGTACGACAACATGCCTTTGATACCCGCGGACGAGCTTTGGGATTCACAGGGTTAACAAAAAACAAAACAAGTACAGATCGTGTTGAATATGCAGTTTTGATGGTTGTCATGCCACTCTGTCCAGCGTATTGCTTTGGTTCCTCAGCTCACAGCTGCACTGATTGATTTTATTTAACCTCCCTGCTTTCAGCAGCATCTTTCCCAGATGCAGCACACAGCTGGTTTTAGCTGTATACCACCTGCCCAGCACCAAACAGCAGACAAAGTTAGCGACAAGCTAATAAATCAAAACCACAGCTTCAATTGAATACTAATGTAGTTCTGTGTCGGCTGAATTTCATAAAGAGGGAATTCCTTGCTAACATGCTCACCATGTCAGCTTTGTTTTTTGCACTGTCCCTGAATGACCTACAATAGTGTTTAAAAAATAATTTAAATGTTGTAAACTATTTTATATAATGTAGATTTTATGTGAAGTTTTTGGATCTGGTTGTCAGATTTGATTGAGAATCATTAAAATCCAGACTTCCTCAGAGATTCTTCACATTTAAGCATCTTTGACCTGCAAATAATTTAATCAAAGCTCACAGAAATATCTAAACTGCTGATTTTTTTTTCTAAAGTAAGCCAGTGATTGCATTTTTTTTTAAATTTATTACAAATGGTTTTACACTTAAAAAGGCTCTGCTGTTTGGAGGAGTTCTCAGTGAATCCAAGCGGCAACTAGATTTCTGTGTGGAGTTAATCCCTTAAACACTTTACTGAAATATGAACATGAGCTTAGCAAGATAATGCGAGAGCTTTAATGACATGAGGAGGGATGGTTTTAGTGGAGGGAGTTGAACAGAACTCAGCAATGACTTTAGAGAATCACACTGCAATAGATGCAGTTTATTAAGACATATGTTTGACCCAGCAAACATACGATGTGTTAAAAAGCCAATACGACTTCAGGGCTCTGCCTGAACTAACGTTATACTTCATTCCCTATACCAGGACTGGTATTTTATAGCCCCAGAGAGTTTTGGGAGGAGGTGTGGGTGTCAATCAAGCTCTCCAACTTTTTCTGTTTCATGTGCAAGCTTGAAACATTTGGATTGGTACCCTGAGTTATGTGGCTCTGCACAGGAAGAGACTCTTTCTCTTCTTCCTTTAGAGCACTTTCACAGAGGCAGTCAGTCCTCTCAAGATCCTCATCACCGCCCCACGATAGCAGCTGAATCTGAGAGGTGCTTCTCTGTTTGAAGAGGATCAAGACCTTCCTGAGAAATGCCACGACACAGGGTCGCCTCAGAGCTCCGGCTCTGGAGAGGAAAATTGTTTGAGCCGTACCTGAATTCATCAAGAAGGAGAGTGAGGGATTTGCCACTCAGAAGAAGAGGAGAGCAACAAAAACAAACAAACAAACAAAAAGGCACCAGAGACATACATAAGGTTTCTTCTTTTACATAGTTGTCCTTAATCTCATTTACTCAAATATCAAAACTGTACTGAGTGAAAAACAGTGAAACCAGTTAATCTGTTTCTGCTCCCTTTACATGTGGCGTCCCTCAGGGCTCTATCTGAGGGCCCCTCTTATGTTCTCTATGCATGCTGCCCCAGGGTTTCATTTTTGAAAAGCATCTATTATTCTTGCTATGCTGATGACACACAGCTTTACCTTCCAGTTACACCTGACCACCTGACTTTTTCAGTGACCAGTCTCTTTCGCTGTCTTGATGATATTAAAAGCTGGATGGGAAAAAAACGACTTCAACTGAATAAAAATACAACTGAGATAAATGTATTTGGTTCACGCAGCTCAATCTTACTGTATTCCTGGACTCGTTTGATATTTATGAACAGGTTATGGGATGCAGTTTTTGTAAGCTGAGAACCAAATTAAGACCCACTTTATGTCATAGTGACCTGGAAACAGTTGTATATGCATTTATTAGCCCACAGCTGGACCACTGTAGCTCCCTGTATATGTGGTTGACACAGTCCAGGCAACAACAGTGAGCATACAAACTGATACAAATAAAATTCAGCACATCATCCTGCTTCTGGCTCATTTGCACTGGCTTCCAGAGAAATACAGGATTGAGTTTGAAATGTTACGATTTGTTTCTGAAGCCCCTAATGGTTCAGGTTGGATATGTTAACTCCATTTTCTTCCTCTGGGCCACTTAGGTCACAGCTAATTTCATAGTTACTCCTCTCAGGCCTCCCATTCACACCTCAAAACCAAAGGTGACACTTTTAATTTGCAATTTCAAATCACAATTAAAGTCTAACCTTTTTTTTCTGTTGCTTTTAGTTCTTCCTGAAGCTGCTCTAGTCACGTCCACCCTTGGTTTCATTTAATCGCTCTGCTGTTTTGTATTGATTGGTTGCCTGATTTCACTCAGTTTTCTTTTTTACCCTTTTGGAAATATAGTTCCATCTGTTTTTTAATAAGTCAGTATACTTTTGGGAAATGCGGAAAAAAGTAAAGTGCACGGTGTAGCCCCAAGCTAGAAGAAAAGCTCTATAAGTGCCGACCATTGACACATAGTGCTATGAGCAAAATTAACAATTTAAAACAAATCTTAAATAATTGTTGATAGCTGATCTTTACAAGACTGTTAATGTGTGTTACTTCTGTGAACTGTTTTATGTCAGGGACCCCACAATACATTTTTTAAATTTACTAAACTCAGTTCTATGCAGGTAATGTTTATTTTCCAAGATATACTGATCTAACATGTTTTTCAGGATTCATTTATCTGTTACATTATGACAATCATTTGAATCTGCTTGGACGTGGCACAATCCTCTCTGAACATTTCCCACCAGCCGCCATAGGGAGAGACAAGCAGTAGATGGCCTAAAGAGTAAAGCTGCACGTGTCAAGTTTAAGGTTTTTAAGCTCAGATTTTCTCTGTCGGTTTGTGTAATACATCAGCGTGATGAAATATGATCACTTCATGTTTTAATCAGGTGCGATCAAAGAGTTTCTCTCAACTGCCTGAGCCACAGGAGAGCCGACTATCAAACTAAATCTGGATGTTAAACAATGATGAAGTGAATATTAATCAGTCCCCGCCCCACAACCCAGTTCATCTGCAAAAGGGACACAGTTTAGGGTGAGGATTATATTTCAAAACGCTTTATTGACATGCTTTTGTAATTCACCAGCTAGTACATTCAGTACCACAAGGAATCACACGAAAGCATAGGTAAATAAACACACACACACACATGAACCAATTGTTGGAACATTTGTATAAAAGTCATTAATGATTGTGGGAAACACACATTTTTTTTTTAAAAAACAACACAAATATAGCACACTGTAGACTTTGGATGAAGTGTTGACTTGCAGATTGTTGTTCTACAAACATTTCTTTGTTGCAGAGCTGCTTTGCTAGTGGTTGAGTTAACCTCAATAGCAGAACGTTTACAAGTTCAGCATCTGGTAAATGAGAATAACGGAAATCAGAGGACTAGTTAGGCTAGTTTTAAAATGGAAGGTAAATTACAGTGGTGTCGTGGTTAGCACTGTCACCTGCAGAGCATCTTTCACTCCTTAGTTGTACCAATTTCAAGGACATTAAACCTGCATTTTTTTTCTAACAGCCAGCAGGGGGCAACTGTTCAGGTTACAAACAGAAGTCTGACTGTATAGAAAATTGGATCAGAAAACCAACCTACTTCTCACTTGATATGTTACTTCAGTAAACCTTTTCCTTCTGTGTTTATGGTCAAAATTGCCATTTTCAAGACTTTTTCAATATAACATGACCTTCATTTTGTAAATTATAGTAACATTTAGAGTAAAGTTGACGATGAAGCAGGGGATTATCTAAGGGCGGGGCTGCCCTTGTGATTGACCGATCGCTACTGTATCAGCATGTGTTGAGTCCTCGAGTTCTATAAGTGGGATTGAGTTGCACCTGGTTTCATAACACCAAGGTGCTGATGGCCAAATAAGCTCAAGGCTTCAAAATGGGTTAGATTCACCAGGGAGTGTGGTTACAGTGGCTACTTCCATCTTTTATATACAGTCCATGTTAAGACAATAATAAGAAGGAGCATCAAACATAAAGTAGCTACTTTACTTAATTTGATTCAGTGATATTTGACATGAACATTTGGGATCAGTCAAAAAAAACAATCAAAAAAACCCCCACAGATGCTGTCCCAGCAAATCAGTTTAATATTACAGTTGAAGGACAATCAGTGTATGAAATTACTGCAACACACTCCTTCTGAGTTGAAAACTAACTTTCCTGCACAAGGTTTAAAGTTAGCAAGTTTAAGAAATGGGCATTAATAATTCTGTTTGTTATGTTCGAATAAAAATGAATCCTAGAACCAAAATTGAGTGCCTGTCTGTAGCAAAAATGACGGTATCTCATCAAAGCTCACCAAACGCTTGGTCTGAGGTGACTTAGCCAGAGAACCTGTGCTTGTTTGGCCTCGTTTTGCCTCAAGGTTTAACTCAACCAGTAATTTTTTATTTTTTTTTATTCTTTGCCTGCAAAGCAGCGTGAATGTTTCAGTACAGCCTCAATCTACTGCTGACACTGGGTTGGGATTTCAGGGTAACAGGAGTGCAGAGAGGCTTTATCAAATAAATAACTTTATTATAAGGGTTTTTTAGCTAAACTAGTTTGAATTTGGAAACTTTGATTAGCAAAAAAAACCAAAAAAACAAAACACTTTTCATCACTATATTAGCAAAGTGTATAATCCTGAGTCTTAAAATTATCTGTTGGCATGGTTCCTTTGACAAACACACTCCTCTGCTTCAGTGACAGTTTATCAGCATTCATTATATGTCTGAATTTTCATTTTGCCATTTTCCCTTATTTTGCCCTTTCTTTGTAACAAAATTCTATCAAGTGTGAACCATTTTCATCCATATAAATAAAGGCAGAATATTAAATCTTTGCAGTATTTTTGGACTTTAAAAACGCAGTAACTTACAGTCTATAGCAACTTCAGTAACTATTCTAAACTTGAGAACATGATAAATTATCCCAAAAATGTGTTCCTTTGGCATCGCTGGTAGTGCTTCAGTGTAATTCCAATTTTGTATGGAGTTTGGCAACTTAATGACACTGACAACAGACTCGTAGCAATATCTCCACTGTGTAAACAAATGCACTGCCTGTCCGTGTACCTCAGAGTGTTGGCAAAACGCCTGAGGGTGGTTTAAATCCAACAGTGGCACCTGGTTTAAGCTATTCTTGGGTCTGTGGCAAGTTCAAGTCAAACATAGAAACTCTTTACCTTATACAGTGCACAATCAATTTTCACCGAAAGTTAAAATATGAAACCACCCAAATTTGTGAAAGCAAAATGAGAAAAACAGCAGAGAGTTAAGATACAGGTCCACACCTCTTTGCATAAATAAATTCATTAAAGTGCTCAAAAAAAGACAAGACAGACTAACGACAAACGGAGACAAAAAATGAAGCTCAGATAAAAGGGAAGACTGAGAAGGACACAAACAAAAGCCACGCTGAGTGTTAGAGGATACATATCAAATGCATTAATGGAAAATGGCCCCTGCTCTGAGCGGAGTTGGCACATTCAGAGGCTTTCACAAGGCAGCTCATAGCAAAAGGTCAGTAATTCAGAATGAGCCAAAGGAGCTTAGCAATATACCTTCAAAGGCTTCACTCATTATCTGCTTTAATGTAGGTTTATAAAAAGGTTTTTAAGAGAAGAGTCTGAGAAAGACAAAAACGCCTTTTGAAAAGAGTGGTGAGGAGAAGAGACAGCCAAATTAAAGAAAACCTCAATAAAAGGGGTTGAGTTGTCTCCAGATGGCAACTCTTTTGTTCCATCTCTCATAGAAAAGCCGCTCGGTTGGCCCGTCTTTGTGGCGAGCCGGGCAGTACCGCGAAGAGAGGAGCGACGTCGGCACACGGCGCTGACCACGCTCGGCCCCCTTCGGCTAATGAGGTCGGTGAATTAGAGGCGAGCGACGACAGCTTTCTGAGTGGGCAGTTTTCCTCCTGGACAAACAGACAAATGTGAGGTGTTTCTTAAAAGCCTGGCAAGAACTGAAACAATATGTTTCCCTGCTGGGTGTTTAGGCAGCAGCTGACAGCTTGTTTCTTACCTAGAGTGTCTTCCAATGAGTTCACCATCACCTTGTTGACCTTTAAAGTCCCCTGCTCCTCTCCTCTGAAGTAAGAACAGTGAAGATATTAGTTGGTTATTTTCAGCACAAAAAAAACGCACGTCTCAGCTCAGGGCAGAAAAACAGCTTATATAGGGACTATTTCTTTATTAAAATGTAGCTCCAATAACAATTTTTACAGGGCTTTCTCTGGATTATCTCCAATTTCTTGGAACAGATGCTGCAAATGAATTCTTTAAATCTCATTTTTTATTCCTGAGTGCCAGAGTGTTTTGGGGTGAAGGCACAAATCAAAGGAATGAATATCTCAAAACTGAAGAAACCCAAACTATCAACTTGGCTAGATACCATGAGAGGTCAATAAGGTTATATTATTATTTTTAGATTATTTTGATGGCCCATGTCTTTGGGGCTTAACTTTGTCTTATTTGCATAACAGCAGATGTTTCTTGTTTCAACACCGTTCACAATCAACACTCTTGATCTTCATTTCTTGAGGTCTTCCTCTTTTCTGTATTTTTTGTCCTTTTTTACAGATTATTAACATTCCCAAACACCATCGTTTAGTTAGAGACACATATTAAAAAACTGCCAAAATGACACCATTTATCAGCCAGAAACTGTCAAACAGAAAGATATGCTGGATTTTCCACTTTCTGACAGTCCTCGAAATTCTCATCTGTGATAAGCCGTTCCACTGGGGAATTAACCGAATCTAAACTTAAAATCATGAATTTTTTATCAAAATCACTTTATTCTGCATTTAAGAATTTGCCAAAAGAAACAGTTTGCACCACATTCTGTAAAAAAGTTGAGTACTCCTCGGCTCACCTGTGAAACCATCACAGTGACTCAGCTGTGACAAACTGTGATGTGGCAGAAACTCTGTGACTGCAGGCTTGTTTACACAGAAATGTAGGCAGTAAACTATTTATGGTACGTCCAGCTGACATTTTTTCTCCAGTATTGTTCTAAAATAAAGAATCAAGCACATTCAACTCTTGTTATTTTTTCTGTTTTTGTAGTTTTGCAATATAGCTTTGTTCTGCTGCATAGAAGGTCTCTACTTCTAGTCATAGTTGTGCTGTTTCCATAGAAGAGGTGTAGGACTTTATACTGCGGTAAAAAATGAGCCTATACAGTGAGTGACAATGTGACAAAAAACACCCAGAAACCTTTTGCCAAAATAATTCAAACTTACATGACACAAATGTACTACAAGACCTTTCAGGACAAATTAATCTTTGAAGGCTTACTGACATCACAAAAAGGAAAATAATCATCAAAAATCTGCATGTCATTTTGGAAAAAGAGGAAACAACTGCAGCTTCCCAACGTGCAATCGTGACATCATAAATAACCCAACTATGACTACATGGAGAGGCTCAATATTCATGCTAATACCTATCTATATCAACACACCTGCTTCACAGTAGTACGAATGTAGTTCAGAGAAGTAGTGGGTTTTTTTGGTTTTCTGTACACCCATCAGAGTGCTGTGTCGTCTTGTATTTTTACCTTGAGCTTCTTTTCATTTCAGTTTTGCCTGTTTTTTTTTTTTTTTTTTGCCTCAGCCAATCAGACCAAGCAGAGGTACATGGATGACAAAAACCAACATACCCTTTGAGTTTCCGCACAGCTCCAAGTCTCAGCAAAGCTGCCAGAGTGTTCTTCTGGAGGTCTGACGACAACACCTCAGCGTACCTCAGTCTACCTGGATAACACACATTTACGGTACAACCCACATTCAGTACGTTCAGTAGAAGCAGAAACAACTCGGCAAATGAGGATCTTGTAGAGACAGAAACCTGTTAGAAGGTGTTTGATGATGAACTTCCGGACAGCAGGAACGAACTGCTTTTCTGTCAGACCCTCTGTCGCCTCTTCACACAGGAACCGACACACCACCTAGAACCACACGTACAAACACACGACCATGAAGATGAGCTTAGAGCTCCCTCTAGAGGACATCTGCGTAACCTTTCTTCAGCATTTCTGATGCAGATCAATTTAATGAAACAGTGTTGTTGTACCTAATTTGTGTACATATTGCGCGTATACCTACAATTATATTTAAGTCTAAGTAAGAACACAAAAGCATTAAAAACTTTGAAAAATAAACTGGTGAAGCAGGTCATTAATTACCTTTTTCTGTGATTAATGACATGCTGTAAATGCAGAATGAATGTAAGTGTTGATTTTTGATGGAAAAGGAATGAAACTAAACAAAAAATAAGGAACTTTAGAGGGTTTTATGTGGCTAAATCTATCCAGTCCTGATAAAATGGTAACATTACAAGCTAAGTTGTAATTTTACAAGTTGAGCTAAATAAAAGTTAAGGAGCTTTGATAATAAATAAGTCCTGTTTTTTTGTTGTTTTTTTTTTCAAACTGAATTTACCATCATGCACCAGGCCTAAATACAGGAGTAGACATATTGACCCGGTTGCATACAAAACAGCTGACTGAATGTTTCAGACTCCACTGTGTTTCTCTCACTCACCTGGTATCCTTGTAAAAAGGGATCTAGCACGCTGGTGAGGAAGGCCAGAGTTCTGTGTCCTCTCTCTGTTACAACAAACTCCTGCTGGTTGATCTGCAGAGCTCCGGTCTTCACCAGCAGGTAACAGGCCTCCTCGAAGTCCTACACAACACACAGCAAGAAATAAAAATGAAATACAAGTCAGAATGGCCATGCTATAATATATAATATAGGCTGCATTATTTCAAGTGCAGCTGCTTACAAATGTTGCTCCTCACCTGCACAGTAGCTCCAGGGCAGAGGATGAACTCATTGGAAAACATGTTTCTCAGAAAGCTGAAGCTGTTGTAGACCTCCTCTGGAAAATACACACATGATAGCAAGTAGGACAGCGTGTATTTAAATATTTAGTACCTGTACATCTCTGTAATAGCAGCCTCTTAGTGTTAATATTTTTGAAAAACAGCCTGAGTAAAGCTCACTAGCTAGCTGAGAAGAAGCTTTAGTATCTTTATTTGATGTGGTTTGACTGGCTGAACACACCCTTTTTAAAAGCTACACTAGAAATCAACCTTATTTTCCCCATTTTGAGTTACATACTTTAAAATGTGCCTCACTACGAGATGAGGGAGTCTCTGTACCCGTCTCTTTTTATGCTTTTCATGTTCATCGCATCCACTTCGTTCCTGGAGGATGCATTGCCGCTGACCTCAGTAAGTGTAGTGTCAAGCATGAAGTCGGTGACTCATCAACATGATGACATCATCAGTTGCGACAACAGCACATCACAGAGCCTGACTCCCCCCCTGAGAACAAGCTGCAGCTATAAAACCTCACCCACAGCCATCTAAAGTGTGGGAATATGTTAGACACAGACCACCAACGTAGTGCTCCACTGGCGCTGCAAAAAACACTTGAAGAAGAAAAGCATCCCAGAATACTCTAAGTAGACTGCAGCAAGACACAGCACCATCCTGTGGCCCTGCAAGCCTATTCCAGTTATGTTTGAAAAGGCCCTGCACTGGTTTGTTCAAAGGCATGAAACTGAAACAGCAAAATCTGTCACCCATACTGCTAACCGCACTCTATGTTGACTAAAGAGGCAGAGAGCAGCAGAGGACAGGCAGTCTCACGTTTGTTGTTGGAGGAGGCAGAGTGTATGGCTGAGGCGAGCAGCGCCGGTCGGATGAAGACGTGCAGAGCCTGATTTCTGTAAGAGGCGCAGGAAAGTATGATGACAGCCTGGTTCAAGAGCTCCTCCTCTGGGCTAGCAGCACTGCGAGGATCCCTTCCCCCAGCCGGTCCTCCTGCTTCAAGACAACATTTACTTGCATTAGCTTACCAATTTAAAATTACTGTGGATCGTTTTGGTCTATTTTGCAGATATGGTTTACTTTTTATTCCTGAGCATAGAGAAGCTGTAACAAATCAATAAAGAAAAAAATCAATATGGCCTTCTTTGAGATGACTGCATTACTGTACATGTCTCAGGAGTTGTTTTTCAGGCTGCTGAAATGGAGCTAAAGAACTATACAAATGTTAATTGTGGTGTTTATACTGAAAAAGAAGACTAAATTAACATCAACTGCAAAGTTCAGTCACTCGCAGTTGCTTCTTTATGTCATGGCTGCTCACTCGCCTTTCATTTTAAGCATACTGAATTTAAATTGTCAGTCAATAATAAAGGTAATTTACACTGTTTGTACCAAACTGTGTGTTGCTCTTGTGACAGCTGGATGCCTGTGCTGACTTTACATGTCATTAAAAAAAAGATCAAGGACATACAGCAGTTGAAGAAAGGCAACAAACACAAACCTTGTTCCAGTGCCAGTCGGACTCTTCCCTCAGAGATCCTCACTAGACCTCGATGAAGAGACAGACTGGAGGAAACAACCTCAGAAGGAGATGTGTGGTCTAAAGGAGAGAAACAAGCATAATGGATGAGCAAGAGAAGAAGGAAAAAGGTTGAATCTTCCATTACAAAAGAAATTGAAAACAGAACACAAGGTCCCAGAGCTCTATATTAAAACTAATTACTGTGCATCATCTACTTCAAATAAAGCTTCAGTAGTTTATATGTATGTTTGTTTAAGCTCAACCCTTGCTATTAGGTTTTTTTGAGCTCAGGAAACAAATATCAGTTGTCAGCCTCACACATTTATTACTGCCCCGTACACCACGGTTGATTTTAAAAGAGGATTGGCTCAAACTGTACCAGGCCAGTGGAGGAAGGCTCCATACTGCCGGGAGACGTCCCTGAGCCACACTGCTTGTTCAGTCAGCTCGTCCACTGCCATCCCCTGCTTCTGCCCCGCCGCCTGGCTCTGGTGGTGGTTCTGGAGCAACAGAGTGGCCAGAAGAACCCAGGGTTTCAGGACCATGTTCTCCTCCTGGGCCCGCACCAGCCTGTAGGCCGAGTCGTTCACGAAGCTGTGGATGTCCTCACCGGGCTTCCTGGGGATGTGTCTGGAAATGAAAAGTGCAAAGCCAGTCAGTGTTACTGAGGTGACATCTGTAACAATTGTATGGCGAAAAGAAAATGACCACTGATTCACTCGGCATAACAAACTCACAGCAAAAAAGCAATCAATCAAGTAGAAGACTTATTAAAAGGTGTTTTGAAAATATGAACACCAAACTCATGCACACATGCAACTAAAACAGGATGAAAATTAAAACAGGTTCACATTCCATCACTGTGTTGACAAGACACATGTGAGATCAGCACAAAAGTCAATATTTTTGTGTTCTTTAAGCAAAAAATGTAATTTAACCCCTTTACCTCCAGGCTTTTTAAAATGTCCATCTTAGAGACAATCTCAAACTTATAAAGCTCCACAAGTGTACGGTTAAAACAAGCTTCATAGATAGAACCCAGCATGTTGAAATACAATCATCATCCTTATCATTAGGCCAGAATGGGATCTAAAAAATGAAATGCTGACATTTTTACTTTTACCTAATCAAAACTGTAAATTGGAGAGTAAAAAAAAACCCAAAAACTTCATAACAATGAATCAGAGACAGTGATGTTTTAAATCTGATCTCAGAACTGTGAACGCTACAATATTTGATGCAACAGAAATGAAGCACAACAATGCTGCAACTATTTTAGTCATTGTACTAAACTCCTCATTGATGTGACCCTCTGGAAATACACCTTCTAAAAAAAGTCAGTAGGTCACATTTTATTAACAGTACAGGTACCTCTCAGGTGGAAAGCGTTAATATTGGTTTGTCCTACCTCGGTGTCAGGTTGAACTGGCTGCGGTTCACTCTGTTCTGAGCTAGACTTCTGACAGACACAGGTTGACCAAAGTACACATGGATACTGCCGTAGTCTTCACTGAGGACCTTTCTGGCTTTAAACAGACCCTACCAAGGAGACAAGAAGCACATGTAATGATTAAAAATAGTTCTTAGTATTTAAAGACAGTGAGAAACACCAGTGTTACTGTACAATCTCTGTGATAGACAATCAAAGACAACAATGTGATTATTGGCTCAACTAATTCAATTATCTTAGATCTTTAATTCTCTATATAGAAACTGTTGTTTGGAAAATACAGTCAATCAAAAATTTAAAAAAAAAACACTCTTTGCATGAGTCATAATTTAGTTTACATTTCCAAACTTTTGCTTTTGATTTCAAGACTTGTTCAGCTTTAGTACGACTACAAATGTCGGATCTTCTATTCACACTACATAAAGAAGTCCGAACTTACCGAAGTGGACTCTTTGGGCTTTGGTACGCCCAGCATTTCTCTGGCATAGAGCGCCTCCTCCAGGATCCTCTCATAGCTGATACTGACGGGGACGACGCTAACATCAAACACTTCGCCTTTAAGGTATGGATCCATCACTATGTTCAGCAGACCTACAGGAGGACACAAAGAGGACGACTGTCAGAAATACATCCATTATATATTATAATAACCATTAAAACAGACCGTTAAAGATTCCCACTGTGATGTCACCCATTAGAAGAGAGAAGTATACTTAAAAAACAGTCCCACTAATTACTAAACTCCTACTCTTGTCAATACTGCTAATCGATCTGGCATGGTAATGGGACTCTTGCTGGCTGTTTTTGCTATTTTTTTAAGAGACAAATCAGGAACAGAATTATTATTTTCTCCCTTTGTTAAATTTATTCTCTTTCATTTTTTATGGTTAAGGGCAGAAAACAAAATGAATGCAGGACTATTCATTTGACAGTATTTTTACTGTGTGCGTGGTATTAATAGTTTCACATAACAAAAACAGTACTTCTTCTACCACAGCCAACACCAACATACAGTTAGAAAAACAGTGAAAATAATGCAACACAGAGTTTGCCTGCAGCCTCCAAATCACTAAATCCCCCTCCGAGCGCTGAAACTGAAACAGTGAATTTCTGAATGACAGTTCTGATGATGTGTTCTCCAATACAGATTGAATTTATAAAAAGCACCCGCAGCTAAATGAGCTACTTAATGGTCACTTTCAGTGATTAATCTATGTTGGTGTCATTTAGTTAACTATGTATGAGAGCTCTTGGCTGCTGCATATTAAACACACCTGGAGCAACACGAGATAAACTACGAGCAGAGTAGTCAAACTGTGTATGTCTCTGCTTGTATGTGATGAACTTACACGGGATGTTTCCACACATGATGTCTGTTCTCACTCTTATATGCAAAAGACTTGCTGACGATGCTTGCTGCCGCAAGTGTAACCACACTTTTGAATGCTTGCTTCTTTTCGTCATTATCATTTAGAGCAGGGTTTGTGTGAGTGTGGGCATCAGAGATAGATTATAGATAGATATGTTAAATCTTTATTGATCCCACAGCGGGGAAATGTTCGGTGTTACAGCAGCAGATAGAAAAACATAGATGATTCAGAGATGGAGTTGGTGAGATAAGATGTGCAAGTAATGTATGCATGTATGTAGTTAGCATGTAGCAATGTATACAGCAATAACAAACAGGAAATCTATTTTCTTAATTTGTCTAGTTCTAGAAGCAGACATCATCTAAATCTACTGACCCTTCAGTTTTTATTAGTTTATCACTGGGGTGCTTTCAATACCAGGTTATGGTATAGAGTTATGAACTACTGTTTTGAAGCCAATGCTGGGCTGTTCCACTTGGTCTTTTGAAAGTGGACATAACAAGAAGACAACAGATACATTCTACAGTAGATGATAACAAGTAGATCTGATTAAGAACTAGAGGACACTACGTATGGCGACACGTTGGCAACTTGACAGTCACAAGGTTAGCACTACTTAAAACATACCCAACACTACGTGAACACCATACTTCATTTAAAAAGCCTTAAAACTAGTGATTGACACCATGAACTCATTAGGAAAAAGTTTCCTGACTGAATAGATCAACTGGGAATTTTTTTTTTTTTTCATAAACTTCTATACCATTAGACTTTGTTTTGCAACCAGTCTGTTGGCTGTTCACAGTCAGTATGCCACGGAAATGCTTTGATATTCCAACATACACAGATGATGGGTGGTGCCTGCTGTCCAGACACTCTGTGTACTGCCTCACTCACTCTTTTTTGACCATATGTTTTAATGCTGCACTCAGAGAAACTACATAAAGCACAGTATCTGACTGCCAAGCTGTGAGAGACAAGTTTGTTTTAAACAGAAAGGAGGGAGGCGTTTATAAGTGCTCAGTCTTGTGCCTTACCTAACTTTGGAGTCAAAGACTTGCATGTTCGGCTTCTGGTTCCCTCTAGGAAAAATTCGACCGGTGCGAATCCATTCTAGAGTGAAAAAAAATGCAAAGGAAGTCTTTGCATAATCTGTATAAAATACCGAAAAAGTATCACGCTAAGAAGGACAAAAAAGTATATATCACTGGTGACTAAGAGAACACTCCCTGATAACAAACAGTATCTTCACCTTGAGAATGGTCTTGACGTACTCAGAGAACACAGCCCAGTACAGTTTGTCTCCACCAAATGACCTCCTGATAAAGAAAGCTCCAGACATTCGCAGCATCTCCCCAACAAACTTCATTGACATGAAGTCTGCAAGGAAACGGTGACAGGACATTTATGAGCAAATATCGGTGGTGCATTACACTGGAGAGAATGTCTACTTTCCATTACCCACATCTGCTAAGTACAACTTTCAAACATACAACCAATGAATATCTCTCTAAGACAACAGAACAACATTGCACATGTCTACCTAATGAATTAGTATCTCAGTAAACACACACTTATGACTTCCACAGTGAATGCATAGTCCAGATATTGGAGCACAAGGTTGGGAGGAAGCCCCACAAATGCCTGTGGATACAACAAAATACTGACTGACAAGATTAACACACTCTTGCTCCTTTAGCTCACCCATGCCAGCAGCAATGACAGGTAGAGCCAGATCGTAGGTGTACAGGATGTATGACATCAGCAGGAAGTCCATGTAGCTGCGGTGACTCGGCAAGAGAACGACCGGGTGCTCATGAATGGCCTGCTGGAGCTAAACACAAAACAAACACAAGTTAGGCGTGACGTCGTGTGCACGTGGGACTGTCCTGCTGGTTTGTGTACTCACTCTCTGGATGCCCTCTTCATTGACACAGATGCTCCTGAACAAGGTTTTAAAGACTTTGCTGAGAGTGAAGGCGAAGAAGCGAACCGTGCTGATCTGCAGGCGGTGAGCCATCTCCTCCAAGATGGCTGCTGCCTCCGCCTGGACTTCATCTGCAGCCATGCCCGTCTCTATAGAAACCTAGATGATTCAAAATAAAATATCCAGCAGAAAGGAGCTTAATAAAAATTAGTTACAACATTTTTTTAATCTGGTACATGCTATGTTCTCTACAACTTATAACCCTCTTCTTCACAATTTGTCCGACAGTCTCTGAACTCAGAAGCTACAACTTTGTCATCTGTGTATATGTAATAGTGCCTGACGTGCACTTTTCAGAAAATAAGGTAATATTTTCAAATATAGTAGGAAAGCATTTCCTGATATTTTGTAATAAAATGCAATGTATGTAGTAATATTAATAGTAATACTGTGAACTAGTTTGGAAGCAAATTGGAAACTTATCATTTCAAGTTCATAGTGAGGAGTTTAAACTGTAGCTTGCAGAAAGTCGCTTTCACAAAATCTTATATACGGTAAGAGAGCTGATGCAGAAATTCACGGAGTCTCGACAATAAGAAAAATGCACTAAGGAATAGAAACTGCATGAAAATCGTTCTTATCTTAACTAACCTGCCAGCTTCTGAGTGTAATCTTGCGAGTACTTACAAACTGAACAGATATGTCTAAAAAAAAAAAAACCTCCCCTGAATATACAGGAAAAAACGAATTTACCTGATTGATGACATAATGCAGCTGATCAGACTGCAGCACCATGCTCTTCAGCTCGCTGGCTTTGCTGGGAGTCAATCCTTTGTAAAGAACAGGAGTGTAACATCTGAGGGCGTATCTCAGGTCGCTGGAGTTCCTCCTTTCCTCTAAAATGTCCTCAAAGTCATCTCTCTTCTTCAGCATCGGATCTCTGTGCTATTAAAAGGGAAACGACACACTATTAGAAACAATCCTATATTTAATTTTGTTGCCAAAATCCACAAGACAAAGCCGTGACTCAAGCCATTGCAGGACAGGATATGTCCAAACTTTTACTACAAGGTAAAAGAATGCGAAGCCCGGCTGCGTTTCCCAAATAACTTCATGTTCATAAAGATCTGTGACCAATGAGATTATGTGACATTTATGATTTAACGACAGCAAAGGCCCACAGTTTACAGCACAAGGGACTACATCCGTGTGCAGTATGACTCATATAACAAATGATTGTAGATTGCATCACACCTGACTAACTGTGTTACTTCTAAGTTGAATAGTAGATACAATTAAAAAAAGAAAAGTTTAGATTTACTAAAATAAAAAACAACACAGCCTCAACAGTAGGAACTGGATGCAACAATAGTCAGTACACTTTTCATTACTGAGATTAAAATCTTTTAGCTTTTTTCTAGCAGTGTGCTTTGGAGCATTATTATACTGAATTATTCCTCCTGTGCCAAACTTCTGTAGACAGAAAAGTCAGTGTTTTGGCAGGTGCACCAAGAGTGGTGCCATTTATAAATATTACCTCCCCAACACGTTTTGCTCTCATATAGCCCCATATCATCACATTCCCATCTCTGTGCACCGTCAAGACCAAAGGGGGAGATTCTTCCAGGTTCAAGCCAAACATGCTGAACTTGTGAACTGAAAAAAATCCTCTTGGCCTCATCTGACAATAAAAAAACACATTCTCCCAACATTTTTTTCTTTAATCCTGCAGATTTGTATTGAACAGTGAGCATGGATGTTTTTCTTGGATATCGTACATAGAGTTTCATATTTTTCACAGTTTTTTAGTGTCTGACTTGTCACACAAACAAAATTTCCATGTGATTACCCCTGTCCTAAATCTGAAGCACTCTCCCGTCTGGTTCTCAGGGCTAGATTGTGCAAGTAGTGCACTGCTTGTCACATTAGAAGGACGGCCACTGCGGCTCTGATTAGGGGCACTATGGCTCATTCTATACATGTGGATTATTGCTGCAACTGTGTTTTCACTGTTTTTTAGTTTTTAGTTGGTCAGTGATTTTCTTGTATTCTTTATTATGAAGATCCTTTGACAGATCTGTTCCATGTGGAGCCACGATGCAGACATGATAGGTACAGCCCATAGACCCAAAACTGAGAAAGTTCTGGTGTTCACTGGTCACTTAGAACTAACTGTAGATCAAAGGTATAGTCAGTTTTGTTTCACTAATCACAAGTTTTCTACTTCGTGTGTCAGTTATCACTTTTGTTGCACTGACCTTCTGTTGTAGGACCTGTACTTTCCATTCAGTTTTTCTGAAGTATGTGATTCAGATATGGTTTGCTGCAACTTTTGAGAGGTAATACAGTTTTGAAACTTTGACATTTAAGTGATATTTCACAGGGGTGCAATCAGTTCTGTTGTCTACAGTGAGGTAACACATGCAATGCTGACCTCTATGTAATGTAGTGCAGTAGTGTAAAGCAGCATAAAATGTAAAATAGAAGTTTATCAAACTTGTGCTGAAGTGCAAAAAGCAAAACTTTAAAATGTGGTGACATTAAGCACATAACTCTGATTAAAAGGTGCTATATAAACTAAACTGCATTGCATTAAGGAGACTTTTATTTTCCACTACAAAAAGGCAGAAAAGAAGGAGACAATGGTATAAGGAAGATCAGTATTGAGAAACCCTGTTGTAGCCTCAGGGTTACACCTCCTCAAAGCAGGAAATCAGTATGTTTGTTTTTTAATTTAAATTACATTGTTTTAAACACAAAAACAGTAATATGACAAAAATTGCACAGCAGTGTTAAACACGACGACCAAAACTGGAGGAGGGAGACACCAACAACACATTATTCATTAGCTTCGGCTAAGCTAACATCAAACTACCTGCACCTATCTTTAAACGCATTATTTGTATCAACTGCCAGACTAAGCAATATGTTCCGAAGCTGCCACGCACGTATATTCAGCTTTAACCTGTTTGAATGAAATGTCAAGCGTGAAACAGTGAGCATTGAGCCACAGCAGCAGCAGCTAAGCTAGCTTAGCCCGTTACCAAGAAGAGCATACATACCGTGTAAACTGCCTCGGATGCCATAACTCTGTCACACTGTGCACACACTCACACGCTGCATTCAAGGAAGGTAGACGTGCACAAATATTACGGTTGGCAACTTGTTATAAGACTTGTAGTCGATGGCAGCACCTGGAGAAGTTCACATGGGCGTGTTAAGTGGCATTTCCGTGGCACTTTCTGTATCTGCCCTACGGTGGCCGGGAAGGACCAGCCCGGTCACACGGTGCACACATGTGCAGTCTGTTGTCATTCATACTGTCAAGTTAGCGTTAAAAAAATTACCCTTTCGTTGTTAATTTGATTATTCCAGTAGCTTAAAATGGACTCCAATACAAACGGGAATAAGGACGAAGACTGTTTGTTTCTGGAGCATGTTTTGGATCAGCTTTACGACTTTGGTAAGTGTAGTAAGCTAGTTGGCTAATGCTAGCTTTACTAGCAACTTTAAAAGGCTGCTGTTGTGCCTGAAACTGCCTTTACCTTCTTTTTCATTTAGTTTCACGTGAGGCTGCCATCACGAAACAACAGGAATAACGTCTTCGATGTGTTACATATGCCACTTTAGCTTTGCCAAAATAGTTAAACAAATGTTAGCTCTCAGTGCTAACATTAACCTAGTTATCTGTTCTCCAGCAGCAACTTAAAGTTAAGCATTTAATTTGTCAGTGATTGTTTTTAACAACTAATGTCGTAAAAGTGATCATTGGGGAATGCAACGTACCACAAAACGTTCTTAAACGTCGTAAGTAGTTAAAGCTGCAGTTATAAATGTAATGGAAAGTTCACATTGAAGTAAAATTCAGTATACAACAACAAGAACTGGAATCACATTTAAATGCTCACATTGTTGATTCATTATCCAGGATCAGGACCAAAAAAGAAGTCTCAGAAGAAGAAGAAGAAACGAAAAAGATGTGAGGAAGAGGAGGAAGAAGAGCTCCCTACAGTGAACGATATCTGCAGCGATACTGGCGACTACAGAGAAGAGCAAGTTGGGACTGAATACCAGCAAACTAAGCAAACAGGTAGTCAGATTTGGGACACTCATTTTGTTTGTAGGAATTATACAAGGACTCCTGAGATCATTTCAGATGGCATAGTTGTGTTTAAGCCTCAAATCATCCACCCATCATTTTCTCTCTTTGGTTATTGGTGTGTTTATCGTGTTTTATTCAGGCTCAACCAAGAACCAAGTGGAGGTTGTCACATTTCAGGACCCCACAAAGAAACTCAAAACTAAGCAGACGCCAGCCCCCAGCAAAGTGCCTGTAAGTGTTTTCTGCTTCATCTTACTCTCTAAACTTGATCTATAAAAGCACAACCGAGGCTGACGATATGGAGAATAAATTAATATAGATTTAGGCAACAATATATCTTGTTCTGTGGTGCATCTGTGCCCCACAAGAGGAAAAAAATCTTTTTGGAAAATGTGCATCAATAATAGAAAAATCAAATCTGTCTGCACTACCTGACCATGTCTGCTTATTAACACAAGGTTAAGATAAGTGATTTGTTCTGCACCTTTTTGCTGAACCCACCATTATGTTGTAATTTAACATTTTTCTTTGGTTTGCTTGTTCAGTGCTAAAACACAAGGTCTCCCTACTTAATGGTGTCATGCTTTTCTTCAGTCCTTGAATGTGTCGTCTTCATTAATATGAAACATGTCCTGCTGCTGCTCACATCTGTGCTGCTGAGGCTGTGGAGTCACACACTTGAATTTTGCAGAGTTTATCCATTACATTGGAAAGGGCTCCTCTAATGGCTGGTACGAGCAGCAGGAAGGATTTGCAGCAAACAAAACTCATGTCAGTGTTCAACTGGGCACCTGGCTGTAGGTTTAGAACAGACGTAGAATATTGTGAACTTATCCTTCACATGTTTGAGCCACAGGTTATAATGAACAATCTAAAATCGTAATACTGAAGTTTCCCTGTCAGTGAAGACAAATGAATCATGACAGATCAGGTCACTGGTGATAGTTTTAATTTAGAAAGTCACTCCTGTTATTATAGAGCAGAACTATAGCAGTGAGTGAATCTGTTTTCCACTGAAAAGTCCTGAAATGTAAATTGCATCGACTCATCTGTACTGAAGCTACATTTCATGCCGTTTGTGATCAGTCAGATTCTGTGATGAATTAGCAAAATGTGTGTACAGCATTGTGGGTTTCGTTGTCGCCCAAGATATCGATTTTACAAATTGCTAAACCTTCTTGGCCAAATACAAACAGGATATAATGAAGGAAGTGGATTGTCTTTAGCAAGAAGTGTAGCAATATCCCCTTTGCTCTGTGGAGCAGCAGATTTAATAGGAAACGTGGCCCTTAACTCAGTCCCAATTGGAACTGTCACAGTTAATTTTACAACAAGCAATTTATTTGTGCAAATGCAGCACCTTTTTCATCGTGGAAACATCGTGGAGCCTGCTCCGTGCTACTGTGTGACCTCTAGCCAACCTTCTGCGTTGTGTTCCTCTTGTCACCAATGATTCACGTCACGTTCCTTCTCCCCTTGTATTTATTGCCTTTGGGTCTCTGCTGTCGTCACTTCAAGGCCCTTCAGATAACAGAGAAGAAGCAAAGCGACCAACCAGAAGAACTCAATTTGGAAAAGGTGACGATTTTATCAGTTTATTTTATTACTACCTCTCTGTGTGGATATTTGTGATTTTGTGTGTGACCTTCCATTTTTTTCATCCTCAATAAAAAAAAAAACAGTTTCCGCGCATTTATTCCACTTTACCACTGTGATGTCTTTGGCCTTAATTCTATTTGTGCTTGTCAACATCAGGCTCGTCTGGAGGTCCATCGGTTTGGAATCACAGGCTATAAGAAGGAGCAGCAGCGAGTTTTTGAGCAGGACAGAGCAGTCATGCTTGGAGCCAGAGTAAGAAAACTAATTTCCTTAGTGTCCCACTGCGAGCCTTTGTGTTAGTCCACTAACCAACTGTCAACTATTGTCTCCTAATTAGGCTCCTAAGAAGGACTATGTCAACTACAAGGTGCTTCAACAGCAAATCAAAGACAAGAAGCAGAAAGCAAAGGAAGAGGTTCAGCCGGTAAGAGCTGCGCCTTCGTCAGTGTTCCTGTTTCTTATTTTACTAGATGCATTTTGTTGTTCTAATGTGACCTGCATCATTTGTCTGTAGGAACTGAAGAAAAAGAAGAAGTCGAATAATCAAAGGTGAGTGATTCAGCCCATGTAGGATGTCCTCTAAGATTTGATCAGTTGGAAAAAAGAATCTGCAAGGCTCACAGCACAGTCGTGTAAACAGTGTTAAAACCAGCATTTCACTTAAAAAACATAGACTAAAACCAAATGTTCATCTTTATACATCTCTATGAATTGGTATGTTATCAAAACGTAGCACAGAATTTCTTTCATGTAAGTCATCCTAAGCACAGAATCCATCCTTCATTCACAAAAATGCAGTGAAGTATGTGCAAAAATATGACAGACACACACGGTGACGAACTGTTGGACGGACCGCTGAATCGTATTTTTTTACAACTTGTGCATCTCCACAGAGACAAGAAGAAGAAGGTGCCCTCTGGTTCTGGTTCGGCCCTCTCGGGTCAGGTGGGCCGCTTCAAGAACGGCATGCTGATCCTCAGCTCCAAGGAGATCCAGAAAATCAAAAGCAGCAAGGGAGGAAAATAGGTGTGTTTATGGGTGTTCAAAAAAAAGACGAAAAGATTTTTTCCAAATGTTTATTTAATCCTGGTTTTAGCCTCGTGCTATAAACAGGCTGTTGTCAAATTCAGCTGAGCTGCTGTCCACAGTTTTATTTACACATGGCCTATGTGAGCACAGAGAGCAGGAGAGAAGCAAACTGATGTAAACACCAGTCGGTTTAGGTTGCACTGAAGTCCAGCTGGGTGACATGAAGACAAGCTAACCCACCTTGTCCTTGCTTATGGTTCCAAATTACTCTTAACATTTCTAACATCTCTAAATGTGTCTCAGCTTTACAATTTCCACAGAGCAGGCATACAATCAAAGCTAATGGTAACATTAGCCACATTAGCTGCACAACGTGTTAACCCTAAGGATAGGGACGTTGCCTTTAATAATAACAACAGTATACCACTGGATCTTCAGTTCCTCAGATGCTTGGGATGTTTAAAGTCTCTTAAGTTCACTCTTGCAGCCAACAGCAAAAAAAAAGGTGTACTTTGCTTGTGTTTAAGTCAGTTTAGAGTTGGCAGAGACAGCTCTAGAAAGTAAATAAAGCTGGTGGACTGATGCAGCTGCTCATTCTGAGTGTCTCACCTCAGACGCAGTGTGCTGTGACGGGGCAGGGTTATACAAAGTTTTAGGTAGACGACTATTGGTTGTTACTAGTTTGTAAAGCAGGGGAGCTTAAGGAAGGGCAGAAGTAAGCATCTTCATATTCTCGCAGCTTTTTTTTGTAAATCTGTAAATTTATAAACCATGCATAACAGAATAGATACCGATTGTCACCACATGGGACCTTTAACATTGAGTGATAGCTGTGGTTAAATGTCTAGTATTAAGGTTAAACAACACAGAATGTGCTTATTGAAATGTCTTAACACGTGTCATGTTTGAAATGTGTGATCTTGTGCTGTGTTTGTGTTTGTAGGTGAATGACTGAATCCTACAGGATGGAAAATATCAGCAGACCAGAGGAACAGTGTGTGTTCAGTGACTCAGCTTACTGCAGCATGGTTCACAGCCAAACTCACTAAGGAGAGGAAATGGACAAAGTACTGATTTCCTGACGATATGTCAGTGGTCCGCAGTGAAGGATGGGACAGTGTTACTGGTGACTGCTGAGTCAGAAATCCAATTTACTGATCACCCAGATGGACCCTGAATGTGAAGGAGGGCCGGTAGTGCACAAAACTGAAGACTCTGTCAGATCATGTTCCATCACAGTTAATTTATTTTGTTTTTATAAATGACCAAAAAAGGAGACATTTGCGTTTGTTGTGTTTTACACTCTGAAGTTTTCAAAATTATGCAGGTACAATGCATTTCTCATATACAAACCATGTAGTCGTACAAAACTTTTACATTGGCAAGAAGGGACAAGATCATAGCAAGACAGATGGAGGAATTAGAAATAAAAAAAGTACACACAACTAAAGTTTTCATGAAACACACATATGAACACTCTGAGTGGACCATGAGAAAGTAGAAAGCAGAATGATCTTCACATTTTTTTTTTCCCGTATAAACCCTAATTTACACAACTTCTCACCGACCTCCTGAAGCTGCAGTCTAGATGTAAACATTGTGAAGTCTTCACAGAAAATAGTTCTTTCCGTTTTCGTTAAAGGGCAAAACAACGAACATCGACAGATTTTTGCGAGACAATGATGAAATGATCTGGCAGTGTGCGGCTGGGTGAGGTCACAAATTCTCACGCCGTTTTCTCGAAGCAGCTTTTCGTGTTATTTACATATTTCAAAAAAAAGAAGAGCATGAGGAAATATGAAGCTTATCTGCAGCACATCGCACATATTTCAAGCTGTAAGCACATCGTTGTATTTTGAGGTGTTTTTGTAGACGGCAAACCTTTTTTTTTTCTTCTTTTTTTTTTAAACCTGCAACCCATGACCACAGACTGTATATATTATCGGTAGCCATTCAACTTGTATACTGAACAAATCGCAGAGGGCGATATACAAAAGAAATATGTAATTAAATATATCTACATAGTTTATAGAGTAAATAAATTCATTTTTTCCTTTGCTGTTTGTTTTTTTTAAAGTTAAATATCGAATGACAGCAGTGACATGCTTTTTCCCAGCACCATATCTTGAAGTTAAATTAGTAAAATATGTCACATTCATGGGTGGGTAAGTGTGGGGTTAAGGGTCATGCCATACAAGCACTCTTACAGAACCACATATAGACAGGAGTGACTGCAACGTGACTCATTTTCAATGTGATATTCGCATCTGTCGCAAAATATTATTTTAAAATTGTTTTTAGGGGGAAAGAAAAGATGTAACCCAGTTTTACCTGATACACTGTCCGACTTCCCAAACCTCTGCAAACACTGTGAATCTCGGTGTCTTGCTAAAAGCTTTTATCCCCTCCGGTCACGATTTCCTCAGTGGCATTTTGACATCAACACAGCCCGCAGCCATGTAACCCCAAATCATTCCGACTTTCAGAAGGGAAAAAAATATATATATATATCGGTTTCCCTGGTTACGTGATAGATGTTTGAGTCTGCTCATTGGCCTGAAATCTATTCCTGGTTATAGCGAAGTGAACCTCGGGGCAGGGTTCTCCTCTGGTTTGGGAGGTGGGAGGACGGTCAGAACAGAGCAGCCAGAAAGCCGCTTTGATGCAAATGTAGCCCTTAGGTGGAAGCTGGCACATCAGGGGCACATCAGGAAAACAAATCCCCCTGTTGGCAGATAGCTAGATGTTTGGGTCTGGGGAAAGTGGTTCAAATTCTGACTTTTACAAAAATGTCGGTGTCATACAGGAGAGATGTTAAATGTAAATGCTAGTGGAAAGCATCACTTGAATCAAGTTTTAGTTGGTAGATCTTATATAGATTAATACCAATTGAAATGTAAATAAAATCATTTTTAACTTTGATTTTATGGTCTTGATTTATTGTTGGCTTCATTAACTGTGATTGTGGCTGCTCAAGGAGGCTGAAGCAAACCTGTCAACCTCTGAGCCATGCCTCGGGCCAAAAGAAACCTGTACCACGAAGCAGGATGTACGGTTCGCAAGGAAACTTTTATCTCTCGATTTTCAGGACTATGATGGTGGTTTACTTCTTACTGGGGCGCATCGCCATGGTAACTTATTCTGCAGACATGCTGTTCAAGGTAACGGATCAATGCGTATAAACACCACTGAGCAAACAGTTTTCTTATAGCATTCCGTGGCGCTCAGTGCACAGATAGTGAGAGGGTCTCTGTGGAGGGTGAGAGTTTTCAAAGACATCTCATTGTTCCGCACGTCTTTGTGTAGTGATATAATGCTAAACAGACTGAATAAAGCACTAAAACCTTGTACTTGTTGATATGCCAGCAAGCCAAACTCTGGGTTTGAATTATGCTTTTGTATTTGTTCTTTACTCGCTCCCAAAGCGCTTAAACACTGTCATGGTTGCAGCTGAAAGAAGAGACTGAAATATGTTAAGAATGAGATTCAAAGTAAGATTACTGAATTCATTAGTCACACTTCACCAAGTGTTGTTTTTGTTACTTGATTGTTTACTCTTCATGATTTGTGAGTAGCATGAATTTTAAATCAACTGATACACTCAGATCTACTGATGTCTGAATGATATTGACACATCTATTTAACTTATGCTTTCATAGAGTCTACAGTTTTTTGTCAGCTCTCCTTCCTGCCTTATTTGCAGCACCTGTGTTGCTTTTAGTCTGCATTGTATTTTCAAACCCCTTAAATTGGTTTAGGATTATAGTTGGTTCCTCTGATGGTAAACCTGTTAATGTTTGGTCATCTGGTGCCAACATTAACTTTTAATGTGAACATGCTCAGAGCTAGATTCAGAAACCCTGGGCTGACTTGACAATAATATACAACCAGCTTCATGTGACCACTTAACCAGACTTTGATTGTTAGGTTTAGTAAAGCCAGATAATGAGAAGATATTCTGGTTATGTTGAACTTGCTTCGTAGTACAGGCTCCATGTGAAATTCACTGTTGTTTTGGCTCCACTTTTGGCCTCCACCACAAAATATCCATCTCATTGGCAACTTAAAAGTCCACAATGATCACCAGCTTGTTGGAAAACATGTGCCTGGTAAAGGTGAATCAGGGGCCAAAGCTGAAAGACACTAAAATGCTGAGAAGAACTAGAGTCTGGTAATGAATCTCCCCTTGACACCTTTCATATTACGAATAACATTTGCTCTGTTGTTATAATAAGGATACTGGTTATGGCTGCTTTAAGATGATCCTTCCCATGTAATCTGAACAATGCATCAGGTGCAAAACACAGGTTTAAGCTGGTTAGGCTTGTTGCACGCTTGTCTGCCATTCTTGCTATGTAAGTGTAAAGAATTCAACATTCTCAGTAATGGCTTTGATATATGAACACATGTATTATCCCATCTCCTCCTAAAAAATCCTTAATCAGTTTTCTGAAGTTGCATTTGTTCTTCTGTTAAAAAGAAGAAACCAGGAATGGTAAGTAAAATAGAACTAAATTTAAAGATATTTCTTTACAACTCTAGAGCTCTACTAATAACTAAAGTACTTTAAAATAGGTGTTGTATTGAAAATAGACCTGATTACTTCCAGTAAGAAATACCTTGACTGTAGTACTGTACTTCTGTTCATTCATATGATATATGTAAAAGAATAAGGGTGTGGTAAGCAAGATAGAAGTGCTGTACTAATATGTCAACATATAAAAAAAAGCCTTTAAATGCAAATGACTGCTATTTTACGTCCCTGATTAAATGTTTGAATATAATGAGATGACTTCAAAAATCAGTGGTTTAAGGTATGAAAACATTGTTCTAATGTAACACCAGCAGGATTCTGTTGAGAAATGCCTTAATCCTGTCCTTGCCTCCGTTGAACAGCAGGGGGCGAGCTGTCATAGCAGTTGGCTTTAACATCACTCATCGCAAAGACAATAAAACAGTACACTATTTACAGTACAGCTTCAGATAGTTTGTAAACTTGTTCGACGCTTAATCCATGCTTAATATCACACGTCATATTCATAACTCACATTTCAGTATTTACAGTTTGTGGATTTCCATTCACACATAGACCAAATATGGCAGGTCAGCCTACACTTCTGTCTCACACTGGGAATAGAAATGTTTCAGACGGGATAAAATCCAACCGTATATGAAGGTTCACTTCACCATTCTCTGCTGCATTAGGCAATTTATATTTTATATATGTATGGTAAAATGTCTGAAGTCACAGTGGTCTGGTTGGAGCTACTGTCCTCTACAGGCTGCCGTACCCGATCCCTGATGAGAAAAGCAGCAGCAAACGTAGCTTTACCTGATGTGACTTTTGAAGATCACTTTCAGTCTGACACGTTACAGACGCCTGAAAGCATCTGCGATTTCTACAGAGAGACTGAGAGATGAGCACAGAATAAAATTACCGTGAGACAACCACACTTCTCTCATCTGCTTCTGATGGACTACGGTAGCTACTGGCCTCGCTAAAACAAAACAGTATAAGGTTTGGCTCTATTCCCATTTCATTTCAGCGTTTTTCTGACAATCATCCCTCAGAAATGAAAACAATTGTTTGAGTCTACAGAGTCTGGGAGAGGCTGCAGGAAACACTGCTTCGGGGCAAATAAAAATCAGCATGCTTCACTTCAACGGGACAATTTGTTTTGTAGTTTTGGCAACTGCATTAACATATGCCCCCAAGATTTATTTAAACACTGCAGCAATATTTCATCCTTTTAAACTTTACTCCCTCGTGCAGCATTATTAAATAGTTTTAAATTCTATTGTGTTCCAAAAGTTTACAAGAAAGCCAAATGTGTCAGGCTAGACTTGAGAGACATGCTGCAGAGACACATTCCTGTTTGTTGAAAACATTCAGCCTGAGGGTTGAATACTTAAAGCTACTTGAAGGAAACTACATGAAGAAACTGCCTGCCTTTATGTTGAGATGTTGAATTTGGCTGCTTTTAATGGAAATTAGTGTAAATGATTGGAATTGAAGATCATCACTATGCAGACGGGAAGGGCTTAACAGACCAAAATGAATCTCCTGAACACCCAAACTTTGCTGCATCTGTCTGTCTACTAGATACAACATTACTGCCTGGGAAGCTTTAAAGCCTGTCAGTTTCACTTTATTCAGTTTTAACCACACGTTTGCAAAATACTTCACCATGCATAGGATTTTTTCTGCTTCAGGCTTTATATTTAGCGATCAGACGTGGAATGTAAAGAGTGGTATTGATCAGCAAGACAGCTAATAAAGGTGTTTCCCAAAATGAAAACTATTCTTTTATCCACGAAATGTTGCTACTCTCATCTGGTTTCTAGGAGTCCTCCACTTTTTATTCCACCCAAACATCATACAGTGGAAATAAACTGCAAATGCTCCAACAAAGTCTATTAAATTCATTCTATTTTAAAGATCTGAGCTGATAAAAATTTTTTAAAAATCACGGTTTTGACATTATCCATGGTGTTTTTTTGTACACTGAAGAGCGGTTCAACAGAAGTTTGAACAGCTGATGAAGGATCCTTCAGTAAACTGGCAGGTAATTGATGCCTCACAGAACATTGAGGGTGTGCACAACAGCATTATGGACCACGGCCTTAATGCCATCAACACAGCTCAGGACCAACTGCTTGGAGAGTTTTGGAAGTGAATCTGAATGCATCACATTGAAACTAGAGTTACTGAAAAACTCTTCTGCAAACCAGACACTTTGTTTGTGCCTCGATTTTACTTTGGGAATAGACTTGGCTATGCGTCAAAGGTCATATCACACTTTCTTAACATTGAAGAGAGATGTGCAACTTTCCATATGTGGAAAATATGTAGGCAACATTTTCACACTTCTGGGGTTTCATACTTGATAAACATAAGAAACCGATCCTGTCAACCTGCAGGGTGGAACTTTCTGCATCATTATTCTTCTTACTATTACAACTTGCCATTATGCTCAAGTTGCAGCAACAGGGACTTCATAGATCTGAACGCTCTACTGGAAGCACCGGTGTAGTGTTACATCTGAGCCATTTTAAGGCAGAAACAGAACTGCTGTCATGAAAACTGTCATGGCCTCCACTTCAGCCTAGTAGGGGCTGGTTTGTGAGTGGTTAACTGTGGGAGTAAAGCCTGCTGGAGACCAGGTCAGCGATCACTGCTTATTCTCATCTGCTGTAAAAGCCTGCAGATCAACACTACCCCAGTCAGTCTTGTCCCGGCCATTGGTTCATCTTCTTCTGTGGTTGCTACCATAACTTCTGTTTGCTTTGCCTGCAGTTTGCCTGATCTGCCTCCTGCTACTCTCAAAACCTTCTCTGGACTCACTCCCAAGTCAAGTCCTTGTTTTCCTGCCTGCTCCAGCCTCAAGCCCATCTGCACCAATCACCCAGTTTGTCTCTCATTTTCATTGTTTTAATGAATTCACCTTGGGCGCACTCTGCCTGGCCTGTGTCTGAGACTCTGCACTTGCTCTGACAGAAACTTCTAAATATGTAATTTTGATACACAGAGATGAATTTTTAAGGGATTTAGAGGGACTTTAAAAAGCCACTGCCATGCAACTTGACTAAAGACATCTGCCAGGAAGGCACGAAAATGAACTTAACCGGACAGGTACTCCCAGGCTCTGTGGATCTTTTATGCGCTGAAAATTGAAATGAAACAAAGCTCAGCCTTTCTTGGTTTGACCTTCAGAAGTGAACCTTTTTGACAACCGCATCGAGCAATCTTTGTACCGCATCGCATGAGACAGAGAGTCGATCATGAGGGAACCTTTGTCAGCTTAAGATGGCTGTCAGATTCCTACCCACAGATAAAGAATCATTTCTCTATTAAACTAACCGAGAAGGAAAAAAACAGAAATCAGAGACATCAGCGCAGTTGGAACCGCGACTGAGATAAAAGTGTGCGGTGAAAGTTTTTAAATATTTCATGAGTCAAACAACCCATGGTGCCACTACACAACTTCTACAAAAAGACTGTTTCACTCTAGTTTTGAGCTTGCGGGCTGTAAACACACCTGAGAGAGGCGCAGAGCAGCGAGAAGTACTGCTGAATCATTCCTCTCGTGTTTTTTTGTTGTTGTTTTTTTCATCTTCTAACAGCACCATGTTGTGTAAATTTCTGGTTTCCATGATTTTTTTTTTTTTTGCTCTGAATTATTCTACTGCACAGTGTGGAAGTCTTCTGTCAGTGTGTGGCTTAATTTGGTGTACGGCTTTGAGGAGAAATTTCATGCTGTATTTTTAATTTACTGGAATGGTACAAAGTGGTATTGTAACAATATACATGTTGTTGGTATCCTGGTGTTCCCAGGGCAAGAACTCAGATATGAAAAAAAGTATGGCAATCCACAGTAACTCCAGTCTTCCATCTCCGCATTTTATAGCCAATAAGAACTCACATTTATTCCCTAGTCCAAAATATTATGGAGCTGAAGTGCGTCCAAGACAGGGGGCACCTTGAGAAGGATGGGAGAGGGATGAATCCCATCTGACGTTACTGGAACAGGTCCATGTGGGTGTGAACTGAGGCTGCATATGACACTGTTGGTTTGTATCCAGGGCACGCTCGGGGTGGGGAGGAAGGAGCGCTTACTGTTTGATATTCTTTGGCACCTCCAGGCCCGTCAGTAAGGTCACCTGAAGTGGACAAACAGAGCAAACACGCAATGAGATCAAAACCGAAGACAGAGATCAGACAGGCGACAGGAAAGTATCTCGTGTGGGTTTTTAATTTGGAGAGGACACGTTTGACAACGTGAGCGTTTGGAACACACTTGACAGATACTTGAGATCACAGACATGATAATGAGTTGGATTTTGGTAACGTTCACTTAACACACACTTAGTGAGCACTTGAATCAGGGGAGCATAATTGGTGACTGATGAAGTGGAGTTTTGATTAATGCCTCTACAAACACTTTGTACACTTGAGAATGGCACACATATTGTATAGCATATGTGTTACATTTCACTGGTTCTCCTGCTGAATCTTGTAATGATGAACTTTTGCAGCAGCGTCACGTTTGAGTTCTTGGTTGTATTCTGTGAATGTGTCTGGTCTATTCTGAAAAGAGGCATCATTCCTCCCTGGCTCCTCTTAAATTTTATTCCTTTCGTGTAATTTCACAAACTTCTTTTTTTGCATATGCAATTAAAGATGATTTCCCTGGTTGATTTAAGTTGTCTGAGCGCACAGCTGCAACAATAACAACAGGCTACTTAAATATTCATGGTTTCTGTTTTTGTGATAGCAAACTAAAAGAGAGTGTGTCATTGACACAAGATGACAATCCTCTGGTTGTAAATATTTAAAGGAATAATAAGCTTGTGTTGCACGAGTTGGAAAAAGTGGATTGCTGCCTTTGAGAACTCCGCTTAACTCACACCTCGAAGTTCAGACCTCAGAAATACTACATCAACAAAGTGTACTTTACCATCTTGGAAATTAGGAGACACTGAATGCTGCAGAATGTAAAGCAGTCATGTGACTGATGTTTGGAAAGACTGATAATCTATGATATAGTCTGTAACACTCTGCGTTTTTTCTAACAGCCAGCAGGGGGCGACTCCTCTGGTGGTAAAAGGAAGTCTGATTGTATAGAATCCTTTGAGAAAATGAATCGACTTGTAATGAGATTTTTTACTTCAGCAAACATTTTCCTAATGCGTTTATGGTCTCGTTTGCTAGTTTTGGGACTCTTTGAATACTAGATGATATTCATTTAATCAGGTGTGAGCCTATTTAGACTAAAGTAGATGGTAAATCAGGGTATGTTCTAAGGTGGGGCTACCTTGTAATGACAGGGCAGAGCACAGCACATGCACCACTGTGTCTGAGAGCTTGGTTACTTCAATAGTCTTCACCACTAAATGTCTTGTCTGGGTAAGAAATACTCCCATTTGCCATGCTTAATTCATATTTAAGCACCATCTTCAATGCACACACCGACCTGCACGTTTCTGTTGAGGCTGACAGCGGGCACGAAGACACCATCCAGGTTCTCAAAGGCAGTTGGTCCGTGCTGCTCCTTGTTGATGTAGAAAGTCAGTGTGTGTTTGATCAGATCCAGCAGCACGCCCACAGTGGAGCCCTTAGTGATGCCTCCCTCCGCCCTACGCACACACACACACACACACACACACATACACAACAGATCAATTTACACAAGGAATGCAGGAGATACAACATTTACCCCAAACTGATCGAGTTTTGTGCTGTTGAGTTTCTGTTTTGTGCTTTAAAGCGGCAAACTTCAACATCTGTTTCTTTCTGTCTGGCTGCAGCTGTGGTTGTTGGAGGGGTGTTTTTGAACTTCATTTCCCAGAGATCCAAACAGTGGCCCAATCCCAATCTTCACAGTCACAGACTCACAGACTTTGAGGCGGATTCCCTTTAAATCTGCAAGGGTTTAAGGCTGTCCCACTGTCAAATCATCAAGTGAATGGGCGCCCCAATCGTGGGGCAGGCAACCCATGAATAGGGGCTGTTAGTCCGCGCCGCATGGATCGATTCCGACCCTCGGCTGGATTTGCTGCATGTCTGTCCCCCTTTCTACTCCCACCATTCCTGTCTCTCTTCACCTGCACTACAATATCAAAAGATAACCTTTAAAGAAAAATCATGGAGTGCATGAGGGCTCCGGTGTGGATGTTTTGATGCACCACCCTGTGTATACCACATACCTGCAGACCTTCCTGAGGGACTCCCCCATTATTCATAATGAAACTGGTGACTTGCTGTTGTGGTTATTTATTGCATGTTTTCAGAGCTGTTTGTATTTCAAGTCGAATGTCCACAGACGTTCACAACTTTCCTGACCTTTGGCAGTTTGCTAAAACACATAAAGACTATAATGTCACAAACAGGCAGTGATCAACTGAGCAGCTGATCAAATTAAATGCGATATCAATTCAATTTTTTCATGGTGATGTGTTGTTTCCAGTCAACATGTGCTGTCATGATAGTGTGTCCCTGCCCGCTTTTTATGCCATTTCAAGCCCTCACAATCTCACACATGCAAGTGCTGCAGCTGTGAAATCAGTTACGTCTGTGGCGGTTCAGTGCTCTGGCCTTAGGATGGAGACTGGGACTGGGCCAATGATGCCTGTGTGTCATCAGTCGGTTGGCTCCTGGGTCACACCTCCGGAACAATTTGATGTCACCACACATAAAAGTTAAAACAAAATATTCTCTACTGCAATGTAATTACAACAGTTATACTTAGATATCCGCTAAATGATAGAATTGAGAGTGCCTTGTAATTGGCAATGTCACCACACCTAGTTTGTAACACTGAAAATGCAAGAACTCTCCTATAACTTCTTCAACAAGTGATAGGATCAATCACTATTACCTCAGTTGGCAATAAATAGTGACTTCCATTACAATAAAGATCTTTAAGAATTGTATACTTTGTGTATTTAAATGTGGGCATTACAAACCAGCTTCAGCTATAAATGCTGTGGTCTACAACACTTCTGTCTTATACTCTACACATTTGTGTCCAAGTTCCATACGAGCTCATTGAGACTTCTGGAATTCAATCTGTGTGAAACCGGGAAAAAATGACAAGAAATAACTGACCGAAAACAGAAATCACTGTAAAACCTGTAGCCTAACACAGATACCACGCTCCTGAAATTGTGTTTAAATGCTAAAACCCTTGTTTTCGATTAGAAGCTCGGCTAAAACCCTCCTGAATGTGTAGATGTGCATACAAACATGATACCTGCCTCAGGGCGAGGCTGCCGGGGCCGTGCGAGATGAAGGAATCGGTACGAGGTAAATAACAACATGAGGCTCAGACATAAGAAGATGAGCACCATGAAAGGTAGAGAAGTGAAATCAAGTCAGAGGTTTTGCATATTCCTGTGAAGAATAGATATTTTCTCACAAATAAATGTTTAATGAGATTTGATGGCTGCCTTGTGATGCAGAGAGATGGCGCAGAGGCATGTTTTGATGTCTCCTGCAGCCTGCAGTAATCTTCCCCTGCTCCCTGGTGTGTTTGTTAGTTACTTGGTATTGTATGAGCCCGCGGGGTCCCTCTGTCATCCTGAGTATCTATCATTATACTGTGTAACCTCTCAGAAGTGTGGGATTTAATGCAGAAGACGTAATGATGGACGTATGAAGAGAGTGACGCCTGACAAAGTCCCTGTCTCCTGTTGTTTTAAAAGAGTGTTGTTCATGAATTAGTTAGAATGACAAGCGTATTTTAAAAAGATGGCTTTATTAATGCTGATAAATGATTTATTATGTTTTATAGATCAGTAATAATTCATTAATAATGACAACATTGGGGTCACCCGGTTGTGAAAAGTCCATTTAGCAGGCGTTTCTCCTTCACTTCATAAATCATAACAGCGGAATAATCATTAAAGGATTAGGTTGCACCTGCCAGGACGGAGCAAATTACACATTAATCATTCATGCTGGTTTATACAGTTCAGCGATTTCTAACATAGCGTCACACAGAGGTTTAATTTAATTTAATCTTTTTACTTTTAATTAATGATTTACTGAACATTTATACCTGCAGACTAGAGGGCTTTTTGGAATTACAAAAACATTACAAAAACATTAACAAAGAATCGTCAGGTTTTACTTTTATGCGAGTGATCTAAAAGTTCTGAGAATGTTTTTGGTGCACATCATAGCTACACGTGTAAAATATGCTAACACAACAAGGACATTGTGCTACACTTGTTTTTGTGACCACTGGTGGGTGCACATTTGTAAGAGCAGAGAGCAAACATCACATTCTGTGTCAAGCAGCAACCTACATGTGACAGATCATTAATAGAGGAGGGTCTGCAGCTTCCATCAAGAGAAGAACCAGTAGTTTTCACAGCCGAAGAGCCTGCAGTCTCCAAGACCAGACAAAGCCTGTCAGGTGAGGAGCACGCCTGTTGTTTTCTTTGGCATTTACATGGTTGTGCACCATGAATTTATTATCAAGGCAAAGTTCTGTAACTTCCTGAGGCACCTGAGGGAGAGCATTCGGAGCAAACGACCTGAACTGTGATAGCATGAGAGTGCACCAGTCGCCGCTCTACAACTACCCCATTGGCTAGATTAAGCACCCTGTGAGTTCTTCCTCTTCTTCAAGTTGAATAGTTTTGACACAGTTTAGGAGATTCAGCACTAATTTCAGATGATGCTTGACGTGTTTACATAACAGTAATTCTAGGAGCGTTACAAGTGTTGCAGAAGCACTGGGAGAAGTGTGTCACTGCACGGAGAGGTTTGCTCAGTGCAAATGTAAATTAGGTATAGTTTTGGACTTTTAGGGGAAATTTTGGCTTATAATCAAGTTTCAGTGAACAAACTTGACCTATTAGATCTGGGTTGGTCCCAGCAGTGGCCAATGAGATTCCAGAGTTCCTTTTAACCCCCGTCGCCCTCCGTGAAGGCGCTGCTGCTATTGATTATTGGGTTGTAATATTGACAGATTATCATACAGCTATCATTGACTGAAAAGGACGCTAAGTCAACGCAGTACCTACCTGTTGGTATGGGAGTTGTTGTGCATGAACCAGGAGCGGTTGTTGTCCACATACATGGCCCAGGCTTTGTCGTCTTTCCCCAGCATCATGTCCTTCATGGTGTTGATCCTCGCCACGCCAAACGCAGGGTCCGGGTGGTTGTCATAGCGATCGATGGTGACCTCCCAATAGTGAATACCCTGAGATTTGACAGGAGTTAGAAAAATCCACTTCCTCGCACAAGACAAAACAACTGATGTAAATTAAATAAAATGTTGTAATTGGAAAACTCAAAGTGAGTACCTTAGAGAAAGCAGCTGTCCCCAGCACCACGCGGTCATCGTAGCTGTTACAGGTGACTGTCTGGTTTTCATTGGTAAGAACGATGTCTCGGTGAGCTGAGGTGGGGTCAAAGGTGAACCAAGCCACTGTAAGGACACAATAGTTAGCAGGTTAGCTTATAATAGTAACAGTCTTTGGACACAGGGGACACAGAACACCGCATTCTGTGAGCGTGTACAGACACAAGTGGTCACACAGATTTCTCTGCTCAAGTGTTTGAATGTCATGCAAAAATTGTTGGTATCTGAGAAATGTTCCTCATTAAGTGGCTATATTTACACATATTTTAATCTCCTGTTTCACCAATTTTTTCCATCCATGAATCAAAAGCCAGCCAACGGTGGCCCTATTTTTCCTCCAATGCCTGTTACATTCTAATTTGGTCACACAGATGTAATTAACTAAAACTTTCAGTCTGTATTATGCTGAGAACTTGTCATTTGTTGATTAGTGGACTCTATTCTGAGCTAAAAATGAGCTGGTGTTGCACGCTGTTGGCAGTGCAGGGGAGGGGGAAAAGATGATATTCCCAGAAAACTCATTCTGAAGCGTTTTCACAGAAATCAACCCCCAGGCTGTTATATTCAATCGAGACATTCGGGGAAGGTCTCATTTTTTAATTTACGTTACAATCCGTTCACACCTTGGAAATGTGAAAGGCGATTAAAACATGTAAATTGCTTCACATTCTCACGCACGGCACCTTTAACAGCTGGTTCCTTCAGGGAGGAAGTCTGCACGGAAGTCTGGCAATTTTATACAGCGTGCGTATGGTGGGCAATAACTGTGAGTAAGTTTAGCTACAGGGGAAAAGCACACACACACACACACACTCAAACATGCTAAAGGCTGAAACATCAGGGACACATTCATCCACAGTGTAGGCCTGAGGACGGATCCATCCATGTGCTGCATCACTGAACAAGTGGTGGCTCGTCCAATATTTCCACACACACGACACACAAAATCACACAGCAAATGCCCGTTTTTAAAAAATTAAAAGCAGTGTCTGTTTTGCAGCTTTTTGGCCTGCTGCACAAAAAAAGAGTCACATCCCACCATTTCCTCCCTCTGTGTAGCTGTAATCATCAAGGAAAAGGAGAGAAATGAGGAGAGGAGGAGGAGAAAGAGGGAGAGTAGGCAGGAAGAAATATGACACAGAAAAATAAAAAGAGGGCAGGACGGATAAACGGTTATCAGTCAGAAAACAGACTAATGCCCATTGTTATTGTGGCTGGCAAAGAGAGTGTGTGTGTGTGTGTGTGTGTGTGTGTGTGTGTGTGTGTGTGTGTGTGTGAAGTGCTTTAGAGAAACTCTCCACCCTCATCCCACTGCTGCTGTGGAAGATTTTGTCATTATCCCCTTTTCTCCTCCTTTCTCTTCCTCTTTCTCTTTTTCTTCTTTTCCATTGCAATTTTTCTTTTTTCTTTTCTGTATATTTTCTTTTCCTTTCCATCTTTCTTTTTTTTTTTTTTCCTTTTCCATTTCTGTCATTTTCCTATACTTCCCCTATTTTTCTTTCTAGCCCTTTTCCATTCTGTTTTTCTTGCCTCCCCTTTTTCTTCTCATTTATGCCTCCATCCTCTTCCTTCCCTTCCTCCCTGCTTTTCCTTTCCAACTCCCCCTTCTGTGTTTTCTTGTCCACGTCTTTCCTTTTATTTCTGCCATCTCATCCTTATCTTTCATGTGCACTGTTAACTTTTCTTTTCTATTCTCTGCCTTCTTTTCCCTGCTTCTCCTCTCATTATCTCATCTCTCCTGCTGCCTTTCTCATGCCTTTTCCAAAAAACAAAAAGCAAAAAAAAAAAAAAAACAACAATCTCCTCATCTAAGAAGCTTTTCTAATCAGTGCTACACAGCGCAAATGAAATTACATCATGAAAGCTGTTTTACAAAGATGATCACCAACGAAAACAAGCCTGCGGAGACAATAAAATAAAGACAGTCAAAGGAGCAGAATGGGAAGTGAGACAGACATGGGGCCCATCTGGCTCGCTGGAAGCTAAGCTACTTCTCATACACGCTACGTACCGTCAGAGGTCTTGAGCACCACTGTCTTACTGTACGGTCCCACGCCAACGGCATTGTAGGCTTTCACCCTGGCATTGTAGGAACTGTTGAAATGGAGTCCATCCACCGTACACACTGTCTCCTTCCCCACATATACCTCCTGGGGGTACACACATATTTTTTACAAATGCAGGTTAAGCGCATGCACATACATTTATATGCAGGATACATCAACTCAAGAGCAATAATATAGATTCAGCATGAAATATCTTAATGGAGTGGACTCACAGACCAGAAATCACAAGTCAGTAATGAGTGTGTTCACCATTTACATCTGTAGTGCCACAAAGAGTTAATGAGGTTGTCGATGCTGCTTGTAAAATGTTGCCCCACTCCTTCTTAAGGACCTAATGAAGTTGAATTGTCGTCCATCCAGAACATCTCACTGATGCTGGATGTTGGAGAGTCTACAATCTATGGTAGGACTGGAACGTTTTTTAGCTACTACAGAAGTTCAGTGCATCTTCTGGTGACATGAGGAAGCATGTTGTCTCACTGAAGTGATCAAATCAAATCCAGTTTATTGTCATTTTGCTGTACATACACAGTAGTACAGGCAAGATGAGAGAGCGTTTCTTCAGGATCATTAAATTAGTCAGTTATGCGGAATGCAAGTCTGGGATAAGGAAGACACTAAACCTAAAGTGATGCCAACGAATGAATGAGATAACCATGGGTGTAAGGATTTTATCTTGATGTTGTTAGGCACTGAGATTGCCACCAATGACATGCTCATACCACCACTCCTCCGCCTCTGTGGGCCTCTCTACCTGTGCAACACTAAACATGACATCTGCTCTGTATAGCTGCAAACTAATCAGGGAAAAGGACTGTTCTCCATCGTGGAAGTGTCCAGCGTGAGCGGTTGCCCACAAGAGCTGATTACAACGCTGCTCTGCCTTAAGATCAAGGTTCACAAACCAACTTCTCTGAAAAAATTCCTCTCAGATTGAAATTCTGTGGTTGTCCACACCAGCAACGTCATCAGCGTCGATGTAGTCAATCGCAAAATGATTTTGCAGATGGACGAGTCGGATGTGTGGGCTAAGGGGGTGACACATGGTCTGTTGTCATGTGGCAGATTGTCTATCGCAACATGCTGTTTGAAACGATTTCTTAGATGACAAATGGCGGAGTCGTGGACACTCAAGTGCCGGGCTACAACTTTAACCGACATGCAGCATCCAGCAGCTGATAGCCTGTTTTCATCCGTCTCTTGCCATCTGTGGCATCATGTCATTTGAATAAAACTGCATTTTAAGGTGGACTTTTATATTCACTGGTCAGTGTGTGTGTGTGTGTGTGTGCTGATCACGCTCTATGATCATTGCCTTTTAAAGCCACACCTGACCGGCTGTGGATTAAATTAATGCTGAGGAGTTTGTCACCACTCAAACAGCCTAAAACATTCTGGTTCACAGTTGGCTAAACTGAAATCATTTCTAGAAATGATTTTCAACTTTTGCACTGAAATCCGAAAAGCAGACCATTTTCATGCCGTTTATATTTTTGTTCACGATATAATAGAGGACATGTTTAATGTATGTTTACTGATTAATTACGCACATAGAGCACACTGTCTGTTTTCAGTCAGAGTTGAGCCACATATGGATTATAACTGATAATGATGAGACCCAAAGAGGAGTCGTACTGACGTCATTTGCTGCATTTCATGTTAGATTACTGTCATATTAGTGTCTTTCTGAATCAGTGTGTGTTTGCGCAGCACCGACCCTGTACTGTCCTCCGTTCCCATCGTCCAGCTCCAGGATGTAGCCCTCGATGGGGCTGCCGGTGGGCACAGTTACCCTCCACGCTAAGGTGGCGCTGTTATTCCTGGTGCAGCACTTCTCCAGCTGCAGGAGAGGAGCTGCTGGCACCGAGGGTCCGGACTCCACTGTGGGGAGAGATGGATCAGTGACATGTAAAGATTGCAGTCGAGGGATGAAGGGAAAGGGGATCAAGAAGGGGGCAAAGATGAGTGGGTGGATGGGTTGAAGAGGAAAAGGAAACAAACAGGGATGTTGTCATCTGGCTGGTTGTCATTAAACAAACTGAAGGGAGACAAATAGGAGATTTAATGAGAATCTAAAGGGATCCAGAAAAGGTGAAAGACCTCCGGGTTCATTTAGAGGGCAACAGCTGGAGATCAGGCTTAAACTTGACCATGTGAGGACATTATAGGCACTAAAGGAGTCGTAGTGATTGTGGTGCATTGGGTTAGACTGATATGAGCTTTGAAAACTGACAGCTGTGAACTTATCTCCTTCTTAAGGTGGGAAAATGGTCGGTACACCATCTTAAGACGACTCCCCTCTAAAGGCCAACCTGATGTTGTAAAAGATTAAACAGCCTAAAGTAAGGCATGTTGTTCTGCTAGTTGCAGAAATCTGCATAACATCAGAGGATAAAAGCATCTTATCAGTCTAACCCTTGTGCTTGTAAGTGAAAAACAGGAATTCCAAAGGAGCTGAAACAGACACACAAACAACAAAAAAAGGGTAGAGATAACCACTGAACACACACGAGTAGATGTGAGTGGTATAGTCAGCCTCTTTTCTTTATTTACAGGCACTTAGCTGTGAGCAGGGAGGACACAGGGGGAGAGGCAGCAGTCAGGACAGAAGGAACAGTCTGGTCGGATCTGTTGTAGCTAACACACATGTTGATTCAGTTTAACAGTATTTACATCTGTTTTCATTCTGTTTATTTGGACCTTTTTTTTTTTAGCAGGATGTCCTTCCATTATTTGTGTATGTAAATTCATCGACCGTGTTTTACTAAAGATTTAATTAATTCTTTAATTTTAAGAGTTGTAGATGCAAATTCGACAAGTGTGGGGAAAAAAAGTTAGGAGGATCATGTTTAACCCTCTGAATCCCAGCCAGTTTCTAGACGTTTTAGTTTCTGTCACATTCTTTTCTCACTGTGGGCTCATTTTTCACAACAATATAAAGTCTATGGAACTGACTATGACTAGCAGTAGAGGAAATTTTAAAAAATCTCTTTGTGCAGGCAGTATAAGAAAGTTATGTTGCCATAAATTATTTTTAAAAATGCAGGTTGACTTTCTTTGATCATTTATTTTATTACTTGTCTACAGACTGCTCGTGTAAACATAGCCTGCAGTTCTGTCAAAAGATTTTGTGATGTGACTGTTGGTGGCAGATGAGTTAGTCATGAGCTTGAGCTGAGAGTGAAGAATTATTTATTTTTTAATATACTTTTTAATTATTTTTGCTTTGTTTTACAGAATCTGGTACAATGTTTTGTGAATCTTTAATTTAGACACGTAAAGGAAAGTAATTTGGATGGAAGATCATGATTTTAAAAAATAAACTAAAAACAGTTGAGTTTTTAACTTTCTAATAGTCCTTAAACTACATACAGTGTATGTTAGATGCAGTTCCATCTGGAAAAATAATTGCACATCACGTATGTAGTTCAGAGAGTGTCCAACAGTTTCCTCTGTTTTTACAGTTTTGGGTAATTTTGTCATTCTGTAATGATGACACACCTTTAAAACCCACGAGCAGTTTGTAGGGTTCAGATGGTTAATATTAATTTCCTCTGTTTACATTTAAAATACTTTTTTTTTACACTTACATTTTAAAAAGTACATTAAAAAGTCATGATTAGCAACCAAAGACTGAAAACAGAAGTACTTCAGGGAACAAACGTCTCAGTGCAGCTCTATCCTGCGGAGGTGTCGTTCTTAGGAGAAGGAGCTGGAAAACAATAACCATGCAGAGGAAAGAGACCAGAGAAACGCTGTGGGGCGACAAGACCAGTGAGTTTCCAACCAGAGTGGCCGTGAGGGGCTATCAGGGCTGAGGGACGAGGAGGGAGTGATAAAATAAATTCGAGGAAGGGAAACGAGGGGTTTACTGTGAAAAGTAGAGTCTCTGAAATACCTCCTGGGCTCTCTGCCTCCATCTCAGCCTCACCACTGTCTGCTGCCTGCATTTGTTTCAATAATGGAATCTCCTGCACATCTGGAAATATGATGTTGGTTTGCATGTTTTAATACGACAGCACAGGGACAGAAGATGCTGAAAGTGAAACCGTTCGGGGGGAAAACGAGGTTCTTATTTTCTAAAAGCTGTGAAGGACATTTGCTGTATCAGAGAAAAAAAAAACAGAAAATCCTGCTCTGTGGCAAATGTCCCTAATGATTGTTCATAGCATGGTCCTTCACATGCAAATGACATGTAAATTGCATGATTTTCACACTTCACATCAGCAAACTCTTTGGAAACGTGACATAAACATGGTTCAAAGCTTCATCAGTCATCTGCATATCAGGACACAGCAGAGGTTTCCACCGCAGAATGTCATGTTACGTCAGAAATTCCTCCAACAATACAGAAACTTCAAAGTCCAAACTTGAAGGTTTGGTCATATTTGGTCTATTTGTGTGCTGAGTGTTCTTTTCAAGCGTGTGATGGTATCTCAGCTTGATATGTTTTCGTAATGGGAGAAGAAAGACTCTCAGACCTCAAGAAACAGAATGATCTTATTTTTCATACATTTGATCATCAGTCCTCTGCTACATGTGAACGTAGCCGCTGAGATAATTCACCTTTAATGTAAACTCGCACACAAAAGCAATGAAACTAACTAACTTTCTTGATTACAAACAAAGAAATTAAATATAGAAGACGTCCAACAGATAAACACTTAGTTATTTAAATAGAATGGAGAAGACAGAGAAACAGTTCTTTAAGTCTGAAACAAAGACATAAAGTTAACATTTAATAGCGTGATCCAGAACAACATATTCCATTCAGCTGAAAACAAGAATTAAGTCAGACTGCTTCGAACACCTGGTACACTGTGTCGCTGCTCAGGATGTCACGAATTCAAAGACATAAAATCAAATCGTCCATCCTTAAACTCTATTGCTTTGTTCTGGATGATCAGGGGGATGTGAGGGAGGAGAAACGTACACATGAGTTTCATGTCACCAGCCTGAAAGAACAAAGGAGGGATGATCAAAGCTCCTCGGCTCTCTAACAAGCCTGACTGGAGCTCAGATTAGGCAAAGTCTCCTTCAAGTGTAGAACTCAGCCCGGGCTGTGACCCACACATCCCGCTAACATTCTCTGTTCAGGTCTTTAAGTTTGTGTCTGAAGGTTTTGGGGGCCTCGCTTTTGAGGAATTTAACGGTGGCAACACAGTGCAGCCTGATGAAGCTGGACCAGTTTATTCACCAAGCTGACACAACATGTTTGTGGATAAACAGAGCTTTAATTCATAAACCAACAATGTGTTCATGTGTACTGTTTGTGTTGGGTAAAGTGTAAAATGATGAAAATCATTTTAGGGAGATGTTTCTGTGGACAAAAAGCTGAAGAAAAGCTGATGTTTAATTTGACTTAACAGCTGTTTTAATAATCAGAGTTATTTAAAATATCACCACATACTTGTAATGCAACAGTAAATAAGTTGAATGAACCTGATCATTAGCATCATTATTTACTTTACAATAAGCTGCTCCCTCCTCTTAGTATTTAAGCATTGGATATCAAATATGATATACGTCATAGACTTTAATGTGAAAAAGATCATTGAGAGAGGAAAATGATCATATCTGTGTTTTATTTTACCCATTTACAGTCAGCGACCACTTGTTAAACACTTCAGAGAAATTTAGTGTAAACACCTCTGAGTGTTTCTACTCTGATTCTGAACTTTGAAAACAGGGGTCATTTCATATGAAATCTACCAATTTCTGATAATTTTACAAGGTCACCCTCTCAGATTCCATCCATCCATCCATTATCTATACACTGCTTAATCCTCACTAGGGTCGCGGGGGGGCTGGAGCCTAGCCGACTTAGGGCGAAGGCAGGGGACACCCCAGACAGGTCGCCAGTCTATCACAGGGCTACCCTCTCAGATTCCTCTGAAAAACTACCAACTTATGAATTTATGAACAAATCCCAAATATTAGGTCTCCATCTGTAATAGTTTTTGAATTACAGCCCTTTGAAATGTTAGTTAATTTGAAGCACTTTCACAAAATGGCCTTTCAGACCATCTTCCGGCATGAAAAGCTCAGACAGTATGGCATATGGAGCTTTGAAACTGTTCATCTTGGGTTAACTTTTCCCGTAGAATCCAAAAAAATGTAATCAGATCTGGTGTATTGTCTTTGTCTTCCTACAAGGCTCTAAAAATGACCAAATATTCAGTTGTTGAAAAAGAAAGACTCCATCTGTTACAGTCCCTCTTTTGAAAACTATGATAGACTCAGCACTCAGAAGTGTTTTCCTGTCATTTATGAGGTGTTGAACCATAACCATTAGTACTTTGGGAGTTTAGGAGTACATTTTTGAAACATGCTAGATTTTCAAATGTCATGAATTCTGCACATTTTCACGCCCTGATTTGACCATGTGGGCAGTTCACCATCATTTTCTTATTTTGACCATGTGTTCTTATGGATCTGAAGATGATCTGACCCAAATTTGGTTTTGTTGTTGAGCCTCCTTTAGGAGTTAGGACTTTTTTTTTTTCTTCTTATGCCCATGCTTATTTTAAAGTAAGATTTCAATCAAAACCCAAACATTATGTGATACACAGTTCCAGAGTTGCCTTATAGCATTATTTCCACATCTGGAAAAACTACTGAGAGGGTGACCTGGGACCCTCTGGTTGATTTGACACGGAATGACCCTGCAGCAGGACTCAGCAGCCTACCGAAAGCCCAGGATCAACAAAAACATTTGGTTAGTTCATTTCACCGATTCACAGTTTGTGATGACGACGCTGCTCCCTGTTTTACCGGCGTCCTCATCATCACCTGCAGACTGCCTAAATGAATCTGCTCTGTCTAACCCTCACTTTGCGGCATCATTCAGCAAAGCCTTTTTCTTTGCTTGGTCTTTGCACCACTGTTTGTTTTTTGTCTTTCTTTCTATCCATGTTCAAGCAACGGGTGCTGATACATTTAACGAGCGCTGCATGCTTTCAGTTGTGATGGCCACTGCTAACGCTGGGCTTCCGAAAAAACAGCCCTGATAAAAGCAGCCCACCATGAAAATTTGTGAACTCCCTGATTCACGCGGTGTAAAAAAAAAAAACAATTAAAAACTTAAAAGCTCAGCAACCCAATGGAAGAGTCTCCCAAAATGAACCATAAGGTGATTTAAGGATATTCTAAAAGACTGCATAATCACTACAGTTACCCCGTGATATAATAATTAATAACTACTCAGCACTTAACTCCATGTAATTTCCTCATTATGTAAAGAGAGTTTTGCATGTGCTTTAAATGGATTTGTAACCACTCTAATGAATCACAATGCCTTCTGAATAAACGCAACTCATTAAGTGTATAATGCACTTCATTTATTATACAGTCTTAACGGCCGATAGCGAAGAATAATGAGCGCTATCTGCTCTCTTAGCAAAGCAACCAGGTTGACTCCACATCTGCACAGGAACAAACCCACCTTGTCTTTGCTGCCTCAGTGCAATAGTATGGAGATAAAATATGCATGCTGTTGATTATATATTTAGTGTACATTAACAATACATCTGGGTAATCTCTGAGACTGCAGCAGAATGAATATAAAGGACGCTGTGTTTACTCATGCTTGCCAAGTGGTTGCTGGGTAGCAACAGCCAATGAATAGCTAATTAGACGTGTACATTGTTGGATGTCTTAAAGAAACCTCAGCAGGAAAGAGTGAGGGCAGCTAAATGCTAAATCATCAAGAGGGATTCGTTTTTACCGCAGATTTACAATGTTCTCGCGTGGTTCTGCATGTCAAGTTCATTTATTTATAAAGTCTATTCAAAGGTGCACATATTACACATTTTACATATGAACTTGACTTATCTTGCCATGAGCAGAGCCGCTGTGAAAACAGCTTTATGGTGGTTTTTCTGCATTTTATTTGAAAGGGTAGAGTTTGAGAGGCATCTAGGAGATAGATAAGGAGGGCTGAATGTTGGTTCAATAGAAAACCACGACAAATTCTGATGTGGGAGTGATCATGCTGTATTCAGAGATGGATACCTCCACTGCTAGCCTGGTAGCACATCATTAAGTGGACTAAATAAGGTATTTTTACTTTGTTCCATATTTGGAGCATTCATTGACAATATACCAGATACAAACAAACTGTAAAGCTTCGTTAGAATTAACTGAATGTTCATTTTAGATTTGATTGTAAATTGAGGTGGGGCTGAATAATTTAGGGAGAATATCTAATTGTCATTTTTCTGATTTGATTTGTAATTAACCAAAAATCAAACAAAAAAAATCTTTGAGTCCTGCATTAGTTCAGTATTCACTCTGTAATCTATTTAAGACATGTGATGGAATACTATCAGAAGACATCTTTAAAATCATGACACACACAGAGGACATCATGAATATGTAAAACCTTTGACACAGTGGTTTAAACCTGTGGTCAACAGTGTTGGTTACATACTGTATATAGTCAGCTGCAGCCTTTGAGATTTACCAGTTGTACTTTTTCAAATTGCAATTCCAAGGTACAGTCCTCGTTAGAAATTTTCAATATTTCCAATTTAGTTCTACTTGTGATCTAAATTATATATTGCAGCTGACTGACATCAATGCGTTGCATGATGGGAAATGTAGGATGCAGTGTTTTATTGAGCTTGTCCCATACTCTATATCTCTGTCTCACCTGAATTCATTTCAACTGTTCTTTGGAAATGCTCAGTATTTCATTTCTGCTGCTGTAGGGGGTCCCTCAATCCAAACAACAACAAAAGACAAAGTTTGATGGCATTGTGAAGCAGCATGGGATCATGGGAGTTCCAGTCTTCACCACCAGCGCAGCTAAAAATCTATCTAATGTTGCTCAGACAGAAATTATGTTTACAGCTGAGGTCTTGTCTTAAAGTTTGATTAAGATGCATGTATTTACATTGTGTATTCATTGTCATGAAATAGCTGCAAGGAAAGTATAGATTTACAAACCCATGCTGTTATATTATCCATTGAGTTTCCCAGCTATAGGGGACAAAGGGGCGACCAAAAGGAATGCATCATTAAACTACAATCATGGTTTTCTCTAGGTTTGAATATTGTTGGGAACTGCTGGGATAATAAAAGCGCAAACATACAACGGTGGGGTGGTTGTTTGTACATCATATGCCTTTAAGTTCACTCTAAGGGGAAATCCACATCTTTACCAATCGTTGGAGTATTCCTTAAAAACACAGTGCCACAAAAAACAGACGTAAAAACACAAATACATCTTAAAAATTGCCATAGTCAGTGATGCAAAATGTAACTCAGAAACCTTGCAGATGTATGCTCACCTTTGCCCTGGCAGAAGTCCAGCTGCAGGATGGTCTGGAGCAGCGAGTCGGTGGTGAGGGTGAGGTCGAAGTCGGGGCCAACCTTCGGCTCCAGGGCTCCTTTCACCCACTGGTCCTGAGACGACGTCACCCGCTTGATCAGGGCGTCTGAGAGCTATGCAGAGAGAGAGAGAGGCATGTTACAGTGTGCAGGCAAACACAGGAGACAAGAGAATAGGATTTCAATGTCTGCTTTTAAATATACTTGCAAGTATCCCTCCCTGCATACAGAATAACTTCTCTGTTCTGGGATCTGTTCCGTTGGTGTGGCTTCATTACATTGTGTCTGACAAGCGAAATGAAGCTCGCATTAGCGCAGCTCAAATATTTAAGGATACGAATTAGACCCCTCGTCTGCTGGTAAAAGCTCCACTGCCTCAGGAAGGAAAAAAAAGTTAAGTGAATACATTACACTAAACTGCACTCAACTGCAGAAAAGATGTGATTGCCATCTTTTTTCCCAGGCGAAGCACGAGCCGAGGATTTTGAAAATTCATCCTTCAGCTTAAACACGCAGATCGCTTCATTTGCGTTCATTTTTCTCTGTCAGATTACTTCAAACTGCAGTGAATTTGTAAATGTTCCTGAGCTGACATCTGGAACTAAAAACTCACCCTTAATTCCTTAAAAGCCCCTATTTAGGATTTAGACAGTGGCAACAGCGAAGAATCACATAATCGATACATTATAAAATATTCAGACGAAATGGAAGCGAGAGGAAGTGCGTGTGTGTCCCTCTGGAGCATCTTTGATCTCTATTTCATTGCTCCCTTTCACCTCCTCTGTTTCACTCACGCTGCCTTTCTGCAGGAAGAGAATCATTTATAGCCAGAAGCAGAGATGCTGGAATTTCATCTTGTCATTTAAGAGAAATTGAAATTTGAGTTTAGTGATATTAAAACACATGTTGCTAAATAACCATGATCAGCCACAACTCTAAAACCACTGGCAGCTAAAGCAAACGACAATGATCATCTTGCTACAATACAGTGTTCTGCTGTTAAACCTTGGATCCGTTGACAGTGACACTCCCAAAGCACGATGACACACCCCACTATGCCACAAAAACTGCTCAGGAATGGCTTGAAGTACATGATAAAGAGCTGTCAAGGGGCAGAATTCCCCAGATCCCAATCCAATCAAGCATCTGTGTGATGAGGAGCAAACCTGATCCATGGGAGCCCCACCCTGCCACCCACAGGCCCTCAAGGGGGATCTAAACAACGTTAGACAGGTTGTTTTAATGTTGTGGCTCATCGATGTATACTATCAGGCTTTCTTTTCATGTACATCTGTGACTTTTATCCACTTATTCAGTCAAAACAGTGATTTAAGTTTTATTTTTCTTGCATGGTGGAGTGCAGACATTGTGTTAACCAGGAATATGGTAACCACCAGTGGGACCAGTACATTATGCATTTCATTTTTTGGAACACCTTAATTGTTTTCTGCCTTCAGGTTCTCAGGGCCATTCATAATGATCCTAAATAAACTGCATTACCCAGAAGGCCCTGCATCTAACAATCTGTTCCCATTCACGCCTGTCTGCTTTTCGCAGCTGTAACATGAAAAGTATCCAGACGTTTCAGCAGCAGAACCAAGTGGTTTAAGCATACAAGCTGCAAAAGGCAAACAGCAGTCAGGTTATGTTGAAGTGTTTCTTTTAGTGCATCTCTCTGTAGTGAGCATGATTTAGTCTGTCTGTGTCTTGTTTGCTTGCAACCACTTCCTCGGCTGTGACTTGACAAAAAAGTGAGAGCGAAACAAAAAAAAAAGTGAGAGCATAATGTTATGAATAAAATGTTAACGTGGTGAGGAAACAGATGTCTCAGAAAATGGTTTGCTACTAACTCTGCATGAGACACTGCATCTGTTAGCAGGGCCATAATCTATGATCAACATAAAGTGTTTCCTGCAAGGGGCAACATTTAAACATTTAATTACAGCTGCTCAGTCTTTAAAACAAGCAAAATACCCGACGACACTTAAATGTCACGTATTTCTGTTTGATTTCCAGGCACAGTGAGATCACATTTACTGAAAGATTAGGAATTTGTTAACATTATTCTTCTGTGCTTCTAAATATTTTTATGACTGCATAAGGTATGCATCCTTTCTATTACATTCTTTCATGACTGAACAAATCAAAATATATCAATGAAATATATAACCACCGTCAGGATGTGGGTGTTGTTGCACATATCAGGGTTTATGTATTCTTGTGAAACCTCCACTGACTGTACACATGCAGGTGTGTTGTTCTGCATCAGATGTAAGAAAAAAGTTGTAAAAAATCCCTTTGAATCTCATAAAGGAGCTCCATCAAGTCTGATAAACAGCCTCTCCTCAGCATCAGCTGGAGCAAATCTGAAAATTAAAAGGAAATCCATGGGTATAAAGAAGTGTTCGTGCTTTTTGCCATTTAACCTCTTCTAAGGAGGTTACATGTGACCTTTCTCACTTTGACCCAAACATGCATGGATCAATAACTATTGATCAGCATATTGAGCCTGTGCACCCGCTGATAACTAAATGTGTCAAATTAATTAAAAAAATAAATCAGCTAACGCATTACTTAAGCAAATCAGATGCATGCTGCGTCGCTGTAAGTGAGGATCATCGGCACTGGCAGGCACATGTTGTTGTTGTTGTTGTTGATGATCCTCTGCTGTGTTTTTAGCTGTGCTGGATTCACAAACATCAGAGGCTCCCCGCAAAGCTGATTTCTCCTTGTAAGCTCAGAGGAACTACGTTTCATACTTCCGCCTCCCTTTCAACTTTCACATTTACATTTTTGCGTTGTAAATACCTCAGAAAGAGTTGTTTTTTAACGTACAGTAAGACCCCGTACTGTTTCTGCCATGTGCATAATTTCAGAAAGTTAGGTCAGAACTTTATAATAAACTTGGTCATTTAA